TTTCACCCAGCTTTCCGGCTCGGTTAAGTGAAGAGAACCTGGTAAAAACCAGATAGTACTCCAGCACCTTTCACCCGACAAATAACCCGAGGACCGCGGTCCACGGGATTGCTATGGCTTTCGCTATCGCTAACGATTTTAGTTTGTTAGTTTTGACCGCCTGAGGTTTTCAAATGCCTCGCGCTTATTTTTTTTTTTCGTTTAATTTGGTTATATAACAATATTAAAGAAAATGAGCGTGAGGTATTTGAAATCCTTCGGCGGTAAGAAATAACAAAATGAAATCGTATGTGATAGCGATAGCCATTCCAATCCTGTTAGGCGCGATAGACCCTAAGGTAGATTATTGAGATAAAACTTTGCGTTGAGTAAACACGGTACATCTTCATATTATTGGGGCAGGTTTACATTATCCTTAAATCCAGTTTAAGGCACTTTTCAAAACCGCCAGTCAATTAAGTTGACCTTACTTAAGAAAACCTTTAAAGAAACATAATTAAAATAATAAACCTTGGAAAAAAATTAACATTAGTAAAAATATTAATCCATGAAAAATTTTTCGTCATATCAATAATTACGGGTTAATAGGGTAGTATTATTCTAAAAAAAAACATGGTAAAAATACTCCTCACGTTACAAATTCCGGGTAAGTGTAGGGTATTATTATTTTAGGAGTATTAGTTTGCTATGAATGATCGATTCGTTCATTTTATAAAAATAAAATCTATATATATAAAACTCAAAGGTGACTGACTGACATAGTGATCTATCAACGCACAGCCCAAACCACTAGACGGATCGGGCTGAAATTTGGCATGCAGGTAAATGTTATGACGTAGGCATCCGCTAAGAAAGGATTTTGATCAATTTTACCTCCAAGGGGATAAAATAGGGAATGAAAGTTTGTATGAAACTTTGTCAATTTTCAACCGATCGGGCTGAGACTTTGCATGCAGGTATAAGAAGAATCATAGATGAATGTCATTGTGTATAATACAAGCCTGAGAACAAAAACTGTAGTCTATACTTCAGCTCTACACCGAAGCGAAGCGAGGGCGGGCCGCTAGTAAATAATAAATCTACCTCAACATTATTAAAATCGCTCCAGCCGTTTAGCCGTGAAGAAGTAACAAACATCCACACTCACACACTCGCAAACTTTCGCCTTTATAATATTAGTGTGATATAACAAATGATCGATATAAGGACATAAACTTAAAGCAATAACTCCGCTTTAAGTGACACCACACAACGCGACATAGCGTCATGGCAGCTCGAAATACCTAGAATGCCTGCTTTAGTTTTACGATTAGCTGCTTTGTTTGCCATGTTTGCAGTACACCGATATTGTTCCTGTATTCCTGCCTATGCAACACGAACGCGTAACTCACCGCGAAATGGTGTAATGCTATTCTCTAATACAAGTCGACGTTGTGCTCGTCGACGAAAATGCGTTGAGATTAAAGTATGTTTTTTTTACTACGTCAACCACCCGTCGATTGTTGTTAAATAATTTATTAATAGTGTTGTGCAAAATAAACAATAAATTTCAAAGTTAGCTTAGAGAACAGAGTACAGGTTCCTGAAAGTTACCTGCATAAATCGACTGTTAAAAAAAACGTTATTAAACATAGTTAAATGTCCGGTAGGTCTTTGTGACATCAAGTCATCAACGCTACACTAATTTAGTTAGAAGCTCAGTTCAAGAACTTTTTTCTTGGGCTGAGGTTAGAAGATACTTAAGTCCCTAACAAAATGCGAGCGGGAACTAGTAATGATTGAAACGTTTTTCGCGTATATATTTTAACACTTCTTAGTTTATATTTTATTCTATTTATTTCTGAAATTGGTAGTTCAGTTTTCTGTCTAATATTTTTTTACAGTTTCACAGAGAAAACAAAATAACTTAGTCTATTATGATGTCTAATGCCAATAACTCACTCCCATAGCGTAAAAATGCCATAACGTACCTTGTAGTTATTGGCACTTAGTTATAATGTGATATCTACGCAATCATTGTTCAATTACTGTTCAGAAATAAACTATCAATTGACCCTTCCCTCTATAAACGTACATAAGTATAAATAACCTTATCCTATCCGCAGCCGGCCGTTATCGATGTCTAGCGGGTGTCGATATCGACTCGTTAAAAGCGCATTAACTTGCGCCTGCACCGGTGCTTGTTGGCACCGGCCAATAGAACTGTTAGCGCACAGAATGACATCAACCTCGGTTCATGTCAACGTATACATATGTTACATATGAATACATATGAATAACAGGAATTCAAGGCTTTATAACCTTATTAATATTTGATTTTATTTATTTTTTAAGAATTTAACTGCTAGATGTTTAAATCTAAAGAAAAGTTTACTAGAAAAAAATCATGCAGCTTAAGGCTAGGAGAATTTCGACGCGGCTAATAGGGCCGTGGTAGCATAATGGTCAGTGCATTCGCCCGGATAGCGAAGGATGCGGGTTCGAGTCCCGTCCGCTGCCTGGTCTGCGTGGATGTTTTTCTAGTAAACTTTTCTTATTAATATTTATCAACAAAATACATAATTTCTCTTGTTCGCGTAATTATGTATTAATTTGACCTAAATCTGTAGCATTATTATCAAATTTATGCTTTCCTGCATTAATTGTCTCTAACGATGACCTAAACGTCAATTAATAAATTGATTGTCCAACGATAACTGAATCTGTAACATAACCTACATTCTCGCATACTATTATTGATACATTGTAGGCATAATATATGTACAAATAAATGACCTGTCCTGTCTGTGCTACCTGCTCTAGAAAGGTGCACGGTCGATCATCGGGCTATGTTTACCGGCACACGTTGCGTTTAAAATAAACAAACCTAACTTCCATGTAGTGCATTGAACTGTCCAGAAAAATAACCAATGGGTACTTCATTCCTTTAATTCATTTCGTTGTCGTTGCTGTTAAATTAATACTATGATATTTAACTAATATACTTCTACTTTAGAATATGTATGATCACTTCTGCAACAGAACAACTTCTATGGATTTAATGTAAAACTAACATATTAAAAAATCTGACAATTTCTATTACAATTCTTCAGAAATTTGCTAATGTTGAATAATATTTTTTTTTAATAAACTTTGGTAAAATCATAACTATAATTGCTATTTCTTCTTTCAAATACTTAATACTTGAAAAAGTGTTCATTTGACATTGTGGATTACCTACAATGCGAAGAGATGGCGCTGCCTTGCAGCTTAAGGCTAGGAAAATTTCGACGCGGCTAATAGGGCCGTGGTAGCATAATGGTCAGTGCATTCGCCCGGATAGCGAAGGATGCGGATTCGAGTCACGTCCGCTGCCTGGTCCGCGTGGATTTTTTTCTAGTAAACTTTTCTTTAGATTTAAACATCTAGCAGTTAAATGCTTAAAAAATAAATAAAAATCATAAACTTCGGTAAGTTTTTCATTCTATGTATTTTTTTTTCGTTGTTCTGTGGTGTTGACAAACCACCTATCTTTTCCCCAATAATGTTTTGCCACCTGAATGCTAGTGATGATCCCTGATTTATAACCACCTGCTGTAGTATCAGCCGTTATCGTGGAATGGCAATAAACGCGCCTATCGCCCACTGTAACCATTAGGCATGCGTCCGATATATCAAAACGAATCCAAAATCCGATTTCAAATACAAATCGATACCGAACGATTTCTCAACAAGAAAATCCGATTTCAGAAATCTAACCGAACCAAAACCAAATACCACAAGTATCCAAATCTAAATCGGATTCGAAATTCGTGCTTTCGTTTTCGGAAGTCAGATTTCGTGCTCGGAACTCCGAATTCGATTTGCTGTTTACGGAAATCTATTGCTGTTCTCTGAGGCGGGATTATTTATCACTGAAAAGATATGTCGTCTAAAAACATCAAAAGTCGAGCAACTTACATTTTTGGACGCTAACCTGAAGTAATTAGGTTTGATTTTGTAAATGGTTTGAAAAATAATAAAAACAAACAGAATAATAAATAAAAATACTAAAAAATATGTAAAAAGAAATCATTGTATAAAAGCCGATTTTTAAATGCGCCGCAAAAGTTTTACTCTTAACCGTAAACATAACTTTTCTGCTAGTCCTAAGCCTAGATTTAAAGCATGAAGGAAAATCGCGAATATCTACGAGTATCCTTGCTTCCTACAATTAATTGTTTGTGATTGTCGTTAGCTAATAAAACCAAATCATAACACAAACTAGTGAATTGGCTAAGTTCAGCACATCTGAAATCGGATATCTAAAAACGGATTTTAAAATCGATTTTGAAATCTGAAATCCGATAAATATCCGTTTGCGTTCAAAACCAAAAACGCCCATGTCTAGTAACCATTATGTAAATAATGGCCGCTGCAATAACCGAGATAAGAGATAACGGCCCTTGATTTTGGAGATTCTTTTTAAGCTTTATTTGAAAGTCAAGGTCTCCCTTGGGTGCCGCCGCTTCTGTAATTAATGAAACTTGAATCGTTCTAAGATTAGAATGTGATGATGTTATTTTATTTCGCATTTATGTTATTTTAAAAACCAACCGCCCGACTTAAGTATTTTAAGATGAAAATGCTGAAATATATAATAAAACTTGTCAATTACAATTGCTATAAATATTTTTACTTGAATGTGCTGACTGACTCTTCTGGTTAGGTACTTACTTGTCTTTATTTATATATTCACTGACTTTTCAACAATTTATAGTGGTTCAATTCATATTAGCGTATGGCTGAAAATAAAGGCCACTTAACTTTGATTTAAACCTTTCAGTGTAATAACAATAAATGATTCTAATTATGTACTGTTTTTCTGTATGATTCATTAACCCACTGTCTAAAATTATTAACTTTTTTTTCTGTTGTAACTGGATTGCTTGATATTATAAAACGCCTGTTTACAATAAATAGGCAGATCAGTTATTCATCTAATTTTGCTCTTACTTATAGTTATATCTCCCTCTTTTCAGATGCGGTAGTGCGGTAAGCGGGCAGCATGTGGGTGCTGGCGACGCTGGTGGTGACAGCGGCGGCGTGGTCCCGCGCGCTGGCGGGCCAGCCGCGCTGCGAGGAAATCACCATTCCGATGTGTCGCGGCATTGCCTACAACATGACTTCCTTCCCCAACGCGCTCGACCACGACACGCAAGAGGAGGCCGGCCTAGAGGTAAACCATCAAAACAGTCTCAAAATTTACTGCTATGTGACCAGCCGCGCTGCAAAAGATCACTACCTCAATTGATATTAACATTATTCTCATCATGAATAACACGGCAAAGATCTTCATTCAACTATCTGTTTTTTTTTAAACATTCACACTCAGATTGAATTTCCGTTTATTAGGACTTTGGCAATGAAATATGGCTTTGTTTTCTATTCCAGGTGCACCAGTACTGGCCTCTCGTCGAGATAAAGTGTTCGGCCGACCTCAAGTTCTTCCTGTGTTCCGTGTACACTCCAATTTGCATCGAGGAGTACGAGGAGCCTCTACCGGCGTGTCGGAGCGTGTGCGAGCGAGCGCGGGCCGGATGCGCGCCGCTCATGCAGAAGTACGGGTTCCAGTGGCCGGAACGCATGGCCTGCGAGCGCTTGCCTCGATTCGGGGACCCGAGCCGCCTGTGTATGGAAGAACCGGACAGGGAACAGGAGCCGGAGCCGCCGCGTCCTCCCCGCCGGCCCCACCAACGTTGCAAAGATCCAAAAAACTGCGAGGGCGGCGCTGCCGGCGCAAGCGCAAACGGGGGCGGGGCGCCGAGCAGCGCGGACGCGGGCGCGGGCGCGGGCGGGGGAGCGACGCCGGCCGAGTGCGGCGAGTGCACGTGCCGCCCGCCGCTGGTGCCGCGCCCGCGCCCCAACGTCAGCACGCCGCTGCTGCCGCCCGCGTGCGCGCTGCCGTGCCGCGGCGCGTTCTTCACTCGCGAGGAGAAGGACTTCGCCGCCGTGTGGGTCGCGCTCTGGTCCGGCCTCTGCGCCGCCTCCACGCTCATGACGCTCACCACCTTCCTCATAGACTCGCAGCGGTTCAAGTACCCGGAGCGCCCGATCGTCTACCTGTCCGCCTGCTACTTCATGGTGGCGATCGGCTACATGACGCGCCTGGCGCTCGGCCACGAAGAAGTCGCGTGTGAAGGTCCTCTGCTCCGCACCTCCGCGAACGGCCCGAGCGCGTGCACCCTCGTGTTCATCCTGGTCTATTTCTTCGGGATGGCGTCGTCAATATGGTGGGTGGTGCTGTCGTTCGCTTGGTTCCTCGCCGCGGGGCTGAAGTGGGGCAACGAGGCGATCGCGGGGCACGCGCAGTACTACCACCTGGCCGCGTGGCTGGTGCCGGCCGCGAAGACTGTGGCGGTGTTACTGGCGGGCGCGGTGGACGGCGACCCGGTGGCGGGCGTGTGCTACGTGGGCAACACCGACCCCGACAACCTCAAACGATACGTGCTCGCGCCGCTCGTCGTCTACTTCGCTTTAGGGGCGACGTTCCTGCTCGCCGGGTTCGTGTCGCTGTTCCGCATCCGGTCGGTGATCAAGCGGCAGGGCGGCATCGGCGCCGGCTCGAAGGCGGACAAGCTGGAGAAGCTGATGATCCGCATCGGAGTGTTCAGCGTTTTATACGCGGTGCCAGCGGGGGTCGTGATCGGGTGTTTGGCGTACGAGGCAGGAGGGAGGGAGGAATGGCTGCGGCGGGTTGCGTGCGGGGCGGAGTGCGGGGGGCGACCGCTGTACTCGGCGCTGATGCTGAAGTACTTCATGGCGCTGGCGGTGGGCATCACGTCGGGCGTGTGGATCTGGTCGGGCAAGACGCTGGACTCGTGGCGCCGCGTGTGGAGGGGAGCGCAGCCCCCGCCCCCGGCACAACGAGCCCTAGTCAAGGGTGCCGTGTGACCCGCGCCCCCCGCGCCCCCCGCGCCCCTGCCCGCGCCCCCGCCTGCGTCTGTGCCCCCGTCAGCCCCCGGAGTCGCCTCGTCTGCGAGATCTGCCCCGCCGCTCTCCGACTACGGACCTGTCTAACAAAGCGATGAGTGCCTGAGGAATCCGCGACCCGAGTGATTTTCCTACGTAACAATGACCGCGCCTCTGTATAAATGTTGGCGGTTTCCTGTGAAACTTCAGCGATTCGTAGAGGAGGAAGAGGGGAAGGCTCAATAAACGCCTATGCAACCGGTTAGAATGTAAAACGTGTGTTTCTATGGGGCGATGGCGTGCCCCGAAATTTCGAAAAAGACTACGAGAAAATATATAAAATGTGTCTCGTGAGTATAGGCGACGTCTTTTTAATTCGGCACGCTCCTGCTGAACTGATGCCCCAAGTGATGAGAGAATGTTGAAATTATCGTTTTCGTGGATTATTTGTACGTTGGCCTCGTACCCAGTGAGCTCGGAAGCTAATAGTGAAGACGTGACTACAACCTGATTGTGAGCTATTTCAATAGAACTGTGAACGAAACGCCGCGAACCCTCTAGTCCTAGCGTATACCGCGGCCCCCCATATACGTAACTAGTGTATAAGAAAAATGACTATTCGTCGACTGTCGTTTATATTATTGTCATCAAAGAATTACAATACACACCTCGGTATAGGGTGTCACTGACCTGACGACGTAGCTATTCTCTAACTCGACGTTGTGTGCATCGACGAGATTGCCTTCGAAATCGATTTCTTGCCACGTACTCTGTTTTTTTTACTTTGTCATCGACCTTTCGGTTGTTAAAGTCTCGTCTTTGAGCACAGTATTGTTTTATGTATATGACTAGCTAATGTCAGTGACATAATGTACCGATGTTCGTATAGTGTAAATAATGTAACGAAATCGCTCGGACTCGCTGCTATCGATTCGAACGAATCTAACCGGCGTCGATTCCGTCGAGTCCAAATGAGTTCGAACCAAATAATAGTGTGAAATATTAGCAGTGATGAACACTGGACGTACGATTTTGATACTGTGATTCGTATATAACCTGTATATCGACTACTTAAGCAGAAAAATTGTAAATAGCGCCATCTATTGTTATTATAGTACAAGTCTCAATGATTTCTCCGAGTAGCATTATTGACAGCAGCCTAACTGATGAATCGATAATAATTATGATGTTAAACAAAATAATTGTCAGTTTAAGCAACAGAATAGTTGAAATATGGGATATCAGTTTAAATCTATTCTTAATTACGTGTAAATCAGAGAAATCTTTGTGTGAATCTTTATAACGTAATTGTCAATTTGTAGTCACACAAACAATTTTCTGATTTGCGTTGATGTTACTCCGTAAATGGTTCCCATTATGATTAAACAATAAAAATGTACAAACATCCAGAAGAAACTTATGATAATGCCTGCCAGTTAATTCACTGCCATGTAATTTTTTTATACAGAATATTAGTAAGGCATTTTCCAAATTGATATTATATTATAAATGTGTGTACTGCTGATGTATTTAATAGGCTAATGAAAGTAAGGATCTCGAGAAATAACTAGGATTTCTATAAGGGGGCGTCTATAAATTACGTGAGATGTTTAAGGGGGGGAGGGGGTCGAGTCAAATCTCATCTAATCTTACGTTGGAGAGAGGGGGGGTCGAGTCAAATATCACGCAATTTTTTTTCTGATTGAAACAAAAAAAATATACTATTTTGGTCCATTTAATCCAGATTGTACATGCTTAAAATTTAATCTTAAGCGTAATCGTAATACGATTTCTTAATCATTCACTATTTCGTTCAAAAGAAATAACTCTCAGCAATATTGATTACTAGTCTTAACTAGTCGTAAATAAAAGCACGAAGCATTTTTTTTCTTTTAACAATTACAATCCAACGCATTTAAGTAAGAAACCCACATTTTGAAAAATCTCACGTGAGATTGGGGGATGGGGGAGGGGGTTGAAAAAAATCTCACCAGGGGGGGAGGGAGGGACAGAAAATTAAAAAAAAACACCTCACGTAATTTATGAACGCCCCCTAATATGATAATATTTTTGAGGTCGTTTAGCATACTATGTAATATATATTAGCAATTTTTAAAAAGCGACTAGAACAGTACCTTTCTGTGAAACAAACGACTTGAGACTGTTTTTGTTTTCACCCGACTGCGCTAGAAGGGGGGTTATGTATTGTATGACGGAGTATATGGTATTTGTACTGACTTATTTTCTGTGTAACCAAATCCGCTCAAATTTTTTGATGTCAACTATTAGCCACGCGCACGTGCAATCGTATGTAATATTGTAAATTGTTTATTTATGCGTCTTGAACAAAGACGATGATGAGAAGAGCGATCGTGGCTCGCCGCGACCGAACTTTATGTAATTTATTTTATATCTAACTGTAGATAACAAATAAAGCGACTTTTTTATGTACAAAACTTGATTGGTTTATTTTATTTTCGCCTTGTTGATTTATCAATTTGTTGGGGCTGTAAGGCTGCGTTTCCACCAGAGATGTGCGAGGATGCATAGCGAGGGATGTGTTTGTAAAGAACCAATAGAATCGCTTCATTTACCTCGCCTCGGTCAGCACAGCTCTGGTGGAAACGGCTCAGCGGAGCTAGATTTTTGCGCATACAAAACAAGCGAGGGATGTGTGTTGAGAAGGATGTGTTGCGAGGTTTGCGCATACTGTACCAGCCAGTCCATAGACGGAGTTTGTTGGAAGTAGAAGTGCACAAAATAGATATGGATAATTGGAAAAAGAAGATACTTTTATATTTAACAATTTGCGATGAAGAAATGGAAGCAGAAGATAAAGCAACGCATCCTCGCACCACACATTAATGCGCATTTTCACAGCTCCGCTACACATCCTCGTAGGCACATTTTCATCGCTCAGCTTTGGTGGAAATGCCCACACATTTTCACAGCACAGCTGGACATCCTCGCACGACACATTTCCATCGCACATCTCTGGTGGAAACGCAGCCTAACTAGAGTCGAATTTGAGGTAGAGCAACATTGGTTACAGGTAGGGTGGAAGTAAAAAATATCATAATAATTGATCTGCCCTTGGAGCACGGGCTCCTTATTCAATCATCATGTATATCATTACCTCTAGGTCAATGATGTACATTCAATAGCTATTCGTAGACAAATAATTTCTGTGACAGAGCATGAGCACGGATCTAAGAACTATTAAATCCTCAATGAAGAAGAACAAGCGAACAAGATGGTTGAACTTCCAGATTTGAACGTCTGAGTGAGAGTGAGGTAATAATTTATTGTTGGGTAGGGTGATACGAGTAAATAGATACGACCAAAAATACTATTTAGATCATTTTTAAGGATTGTGATTTCAAGGTAGGGCATAGCCCCACAATGCTCCACAAATTATACGTCATTGTTAGATACTAAAATTCGCTTTCCAAATAGTACTGGCGTCATAAATTAGCGGGATGTGTGTCGTATCTATAGACGCTAGACAATAGCTTGATAATTTGACGTGCTAAAAGAGATTGCGTGCTTCGGAAGGCACGTTAAACCGTTGTTGGTCCCAGACTCACGGCTACATCTGCAGTCGTTAGCCTCCTCCAATCTGCACTGGGCCCGCGTGGTAGGTCATGGCCCACTCCCTATTCCATCCATAGGGAAGGCCTGTGCCCCAGCAGTAGGGGCATTAATAGGCTGATGATGGTAATAAGAGGCTATTCGATCAATTTATAATCTTAAAGTTAAAGAATCATTAAGAGATAAGTTTAAAGAATTTGGAATAATGACGGTCGCATCACAATACATATACGAAAATTTATTACTTGTAAGAAAAAATATTAATTTGTTTCTTGAAAACAGTGATGTTCACACAATTAATACAAGAAACAAAAATAAACTAACTTTACCTGCTACTAGGCTTCACAAAATTAATAATTCATTAAAAGGTCTTTGTGTTCGCTTATACAATAAAATCCCAAGCAATATCCAAGAGTTAGCCATAAATAAATTTAAAGATATTATAAAAAAAACACTTATTAAAAAAGCTTATTACAAAGTGTCTGATTATATTACAGACAAAAATGCTTGGGTTTGAACTGTTCCAATCATTCCAACAAGTTTTCTATATTAAATAAATCATAATTGTATTGACGTTGTAATGATTTGTAAATGTTGTTACATTAGACTTTTAATGTTGTGGAGTTTTTTTCGCTCGTTTTTCTCCGCAGCTAAAAAATATGTCCATAACGAGTGGTAGGGAAAAAAAATTTTTTGGACGATTCAAAAGAGTTGTACTATACATCCAATTTGAATAAAGATATATTGATTTCTGATTTCTGGTTGTGGAAAACGATAAATTTGTATGTGCACCCGAAGCTTCGTAACGCAGGTGTGAGATAAGTATTATACCATCCATTCATCGAAACACGGAACTCGATGGCGCAACAGTTAGAACCTATAAATTAGATGAGATATAGAGGTAAATTTCTCGGAACCGAAGTCGAAGTTTTTAAATTTAATTTATCGGTGTCGGAGGCCGAGTCGGGGTCAGCGGCAAAGTCAGCAGTGGTCACAGGAGAAATATTTTTCATTTAAGAACAAATCAAAACATCATTCAGTCAACCATTCATTTCATTTTAATAATAAAATAACCTTTTTTCATTTAAATTTACTTATTATTAACACAGACTCCCAACGCGACCAGTTCGTAACGGTCGACGCAGGCCACCGCCGCTATTTGCAATGCTTCAACCTCCGATTAAAACCTCCGATTTAAAAGATTCGGAGCCGAAGTCGGAACCGAAGGTGTAATAATAATCGGAAGTTCCGACTTACGGAATCGGAGTCGAAGCTCCGTAACATCCCTGGTTAGAACGTTCGGTCTGCGTTAATGGATGTAGATGTTAAATAGGTAACTTTCGCCATAGCCAGTCATACAATGAATGACCAAAACTTTATTAGCTCGGGCTTCTCCGTGCTTCGGAGGAAAGGCAAGTTAAGCCGTTGGTCCTGGCTGCATGTACAGGCGACCAACCAACCTCTAATCCACACTGGGGCCGAGTGGTTGGTCAAGTCCTAATCTCCCTATAGGTACACGGTGAAGGCCTGTGACTCAACAGTGTGGACATAAATAAGCTGATGATGTGATGACACACTGTAAGTATGGAGTTTCCATAGCCACCTATAATGCGATTCAACTAAGAATAGGACCGACTGGGCGCCATATTGTAATGTCATAGCTGTCAATTCAAACAAAATAGGTAGAGTGAGCAAAAAAAAGTTTTTATTTAATAAAACTTATTTACTAAGATTAAGTGAGAAAAAGCATCAGATTTTTTTACTAACATTTATTTACTAAGATTGAGAAAAAAACCCACCGATTTTTAATAATATTTATTTATTATAAGACTGTGAGAAAAAACATTAATCAGAATCTAGCTCTTCTATTCCGCTCATCTCTGCATTGCCGCCGGAGTAGTTATGAATAATCATGCACTAGCACTAGATCACATACGAACATGCATCCTTAGTGTAAACGAAAGTTTGAAATCGAGTTTCTTAACGCAACTTAAAGTGACATTTGGTTGACGATTTAGGTAATCAACTATTCATGGCGAAAGCTCAATAAGTGAAAAAAAATATCAACCGATATTAATTATCAATATATGTTATTGCTTGTTTACAAATGTTTGGTTTTTATTCTAGAATTAGCGGAGTGCTAAAAAAGGGTTCCAAGATTTTTATTGCAAACCGTACTTTTCAAGCGACATTTGACAGATAGAGGTCATTGGCTTTCCTATTCTTATTTGAATCGCATTATAATTCGTAGAATATTTATTTAAGAATAACGCCACCTCAGTTTTTGTACTGAGCGAATGTATTACAGTTTACAGATAGGTAACTGCAGTGCTATTCTGTAAGAACATACTCACTTTTCATCTCTGAATCCGCGATGTGGATTTAAATCCACAAATAAAAATATAAAAATAACAACACGAATTTCAAATTTTCCCTTTAAAAACCCTTTCAAAAGTTAACTCTCTGTATTTATGCCTTTATGTATGTATGGTTTAAAATGCTTATACAAATTCAAATTCCTGGAAAGGAATAAGGATAACAGGATAAACCCCATAAAAAATTATCTCAGTCTATCATGTTTATTTTTGAAATACCTAAAAGCACTAGTAGGTAATATTAAAATTATTGCTAGTTTGAACATTATCTCCTTTCACATCAAACAATATAAAATATTCGAGTTCAATACATGATAAATCGAAAATTAACAAGGTAGAAAAGTTCCGTCCGAAACAGCGCCTCCACCGGATAACTGCAGAAGCTTTTAATGCTTGTAAGTACAGCGTTCCACCTTTAATCAACAGGGTCGGATTAAGGGTAGGCGGGGCTATGGCCCCGGGCCATGGGCCCCCCAACAGATATAAACAAAAATTTCGACGGGTCACCAAACCAGGAGGCAGGGGATGGGGGGGTGCAAGGTGGAAATCGTAAGTCAGAAGCCTCTTAATCCCCAATAAAATAGGTTACTTAAAGAAAGAGTAACAGATTTCTTTCGTTTTCAAATATTAGTATTTCAAGGCCCCCTTTATCTGCATATAAACATTCATCAATATCGGATCAGCAACTTAGGCGTGAGAATGTCCAGGTGGTTAAGCGTACTAATTTTATAAAAAAAACACAATATTAATTTGTGTTTTTTACTAGTTTAAACAAAAAGAAACTATAAACATTGGACGAGCCCAGATTATTAATACCCATTCTTTTAATGGCAACTGATTTTATAGGACGCATGGCAGTATTCCATTAGGAACTGCGCAGATCCGAATAATCACAGAACACAGAAACCTCAGTCAGAATAGTAATACAATTAGGGCCGTATTTAAGGCAGGGCAGGCAATGCTGTGGCTGTGGCCCAGGAACACAGCCAGCCATAAGAAACTGGCCTTCACAATAGAGATAAAAATAACCAAATTTCAAAGTGTCACCCATCAACTCCTTCGTTGCCCCTGGGCCTCCTCTCCTCTAAATCCGACCTTGAGTACAATAAAACATTGTTATTATATTTTTTCCATATTGCAGTAGATTACAGTAGATAAGAAAATGTGTTTCTATCTAGCGAGACCTCTCGAGCTGGACTTAAAATGTAGTAGTGGTAATGCTTTACTTGTTCAATGTACACTCGCGGAAAGACCCGCTCTGTCACCCATAATGCCATAATCGCTTGCGGTAGCGGCGTAGTAAAAATTCATTCATAGACATGTAATTATCGCTGTCTTACATTTTCGTATAGCGCTGTCGCGATCACGATGCGGGTGACAAATTGCAACTAAAACAAATGCAATTCAATTCATTATTCAATCAATGAAATGCTCTCTGTCTTACTTTTGTGCGGCGGCCCGGATTGGCGCGTCCGACGCGAAGGCGGGGCGTAGTAAAAACTACTGTAGAAAACCGTTCAAAGCATTTTGTTCGCCAAGTGACAGAGCGCAAAATTCCGTGATAGTACCTCATGAATTTATTAACAAGGTTCAATGTACCTCAACAGTTTCGATAAAAAATACGATATATCGCCTTGTCTTTACGTGCATTACTATTTTCAGTCTAGCTCGGGTGGCCCCACTGGAAAAAAATACACGATAACAAATATATGAATAGTAAGTACATTTTTTATACAAGGCTGAAATTAGTACATATGTGTATTTTTTTGCAGAGCTTAAAGAACGAATATCGTTTGAGTGGTTAAAACAATGTGTAGGTACCTACCAATATATTCAATTCCTATCTTAGGGGGTGGAACACATAATGAAAAAAAATACATAAACCAATACAGCCTAAAATTATAGATATAGATTATAGCTTGACTTTCCTGATTTATAAAAAATCTTTAATTCAATTACCTTGACTTTCCTGATTTATAAAATCTTTAATCATAAATCAATGCTATAACTGTGTCTGATACGCTGTGCTTATTAGAAGGATCAACGTAGTTTCTATAACTGTATATTTGGTGAGTAATACAAACTTAACATTGAAACATTAAAGTGCATGTAACTTTTAAAGTTATAATATTTATGTAACGCTAATAAGGAAAATATCTACAACACGGACGCGACCCGTAGGCAGTAACCATAGCGTAACAATTTTAAAAATGCAAAAGCAGCATTTTTTTGACGTGACAACGTCTTAAATAAGGTTGCGGCTGGGAGTCACTTATGAAAAAGTGTAACGCTCGGTAACGTTACGATGAGTCTCTCGTGTTAAGTTTAAGTTTACATGTACAATGTTTTAGTAAACAAAATATATTTCTATAGTTAAAATTTGTGCAATTCTTATTTTCATTCAATTCCTTGTTCCTATTGTGCAATTTAATTATATTCATATCAATAAATATTCTACCGAGAAAAAGACGTTGTCACGTAAAATCTTCGCCCGTAAAACCGACTTTACAGGCAACCATTTTTTTTTTTTCATAGATTTTGTTCATAGCAGCGCTGTTCTCTCTTCAGAGGAAAACGACACTAACACATTAACAATGACACTTGATACACCGCCAATAAATGAAAAGAAGTTTAATTAAGATTACTAACAATTATTATTATGATGACATTTTATTTTGAATTGTAATTTAATTTTAATATTTTACCGTTATTAATTCTATATTTGTATGCCTGATGGCTGGTCTTAGTTGGACTGTATATTTAAGCATAATAACCATGTATTACCTATGTACCACAAATAAATAAATAAATGAAATGAAATGTGCTTCTTAATTTATTACCAACTAGGCATATACTTTGGTAGAGGTTAAAGCTTTTGCCCTGCTGGCCGTGTCCGTGTTGCTATAATTATGATTTATTAAAGTAATAAATTCTTGCACTGGTAATGACAAAAAAACGATCGACGACCTCCGTGGCTGAGTGGTTTGTACGCCGTGTTTCAAGTTGTCGCCAAATTTAGAGGTCCCGGGTTCGCATCCCGGTGGGGGAAGTATCAGTATATGTATTCTATCCGTTACCCTAGCATCCCAAACACAAGCCTACTGTGCTTACTTCGGGGCTAGGCTAATTGGTGTGTGTTGGAAAAAAAAAAATTATTTATTAATAGTGACATGTCGGACCCACATTTTCCAAACTTTAAAAGCAATTTGAAAACGAGGGAAATTAATGAAAATCTATTCTCTATCACATCACAATACTTATTCACATTTTAATTACGTATGTCGTTAGAGACTGGACATTTTTTAATCACTTATTAACTATTCTATACTTACAAAATGTTGGCCAATATAGTAATATGATTTTCATTACTCCTTAGTTTACAAATGGCCGTAGTTCTTTCAATATTTCCATGTTGACGGAGCTGCCCCAGGTAGTCAGAGCAGGCAACGGGCGAGGACCTACTCCATTGCAGCTTTTAAAGCACTTTTAATGACTACCAAGTATAATTGTATTAAAACTATTTCAATTTAAATAATAAGTACAAAAAAGTAAAGAAAAGTTTTTCAAGAAAAAAACCTTTGCTACAATGCAAAGAGATGGCGCTGCCTTGCAGCTTAAGGCTACGAAAGTTTCGACGCGGCCATCAGGGCCATAATTGGTCAGTGCATTCGCCCGGATTGCGAAGGGTGCGGGTTCGAGTCCCGTCCGCTGCCTGGTCCGCGTGGATTTTTTTTCTAGTAAGATTTTTCTTTAGATTTAAGCATCTAGCAGTTAAATGTTTAAAAAAATAAAAACATAACTACAAAAAAGTAATTCTAAAAGTTCTCAAATATTAAAGATCAGATCTAAATGTACAAAATGACCAAAAACAACAAAAAACCTTTTTATATAATATTACAATATGACTTGTTGTAAATAATGCTTTTATACAGGTTTTTTGTTATTGAAATGTTTAACTTCTAATTCTACTTACAAAACGTTAGTCTGACAACAGCTACAAATTGTCTGATTTTCCTATAGCTAAGTATCTAAAAAGTATTGCACAAAATTATTAAGTCCTTATAATAAAGTGACACAACCACTCACAATTTCGTTTAAAACTACGTACCTATTTAGTTACATGAGATTACTCGAAAAATACATTATAAAAATATCAACAGGCCAAGATTTGACTAGATCTATAATATAATTAGACGACACCGGTGCCAATTCTGGCATGATTCTCTAAACTTAAAACTAAATTTAACATCAGTTTCTTCTTTTTATTCTGTATAGGAAATGACAAGGATACACTGTTGTCTAATTTAAGTTTAGGTTTAGAGATTCATGTCAGAATCGACACCACTGTACAGCTATAAAAAGAGCATCAGATTTACGTATTTCGTTTCATTTACAAATTTTTAAACTCCTTATACTAATTTATTATCGTTTCTAATTAAGTACTTGCATTTTTTTTCATCAACCTTCGAGCAAGTTTCTACTTACGCAGAATAATGCAGGGCCGCACTAAGCAGTGTGTATTCAATAAAACTTATTAAAAATATTGACTATTCAAGTTTAATAAAAACTTATTAAACGCTCGTTGAATCATTAATATACGTCAAAAGACAACTCAAATAAATTAATTTATGGCTCTTTCTACTCCGCTTATAAGATTATTGATTTTTTTAAATAGCCAAGTACATGACATGGATTTTTTCAAACCAGATACACGGTTTCTTTCCCAGAAAGTCAATTCATAAATTTTATGTTAGATATTATACGAAATTCTCATTATTCTATGCTAATAATATATCCCTTAAAGCGTTCCCATAACAAAAAATAAGCACAGCCTAAAAGTTTAAAATGCACAAGGTCAAGGTACTCCTTGAAACTCGTACCCTCAACTGGTCATGATGCTGTTGCAGCCGTAATAAATCGCTTGCCCGTAATGTTCTTGTATCATGCTGTCTTGCTCACTCATATGGACGCTGTGGTGCAAGTAGGGATTTTGTATATTATGTTCTTGTTCATTCGGATGAGAAACCTGAACTGGCATTGGTTGCTGATAATATTGTATATCCTGCTGTTGCGTCTGTGGGTCTACTTCCATTGACTTCTGCATATCTAGATGCATTGAGTGACCCTGTAATCATGCGTTCTTATGTTAAGCTCATCCAGTCTAAAAATTAATAGTTTTGAATTTATTTAATTAAAAAGATATATTAGAAATGATAAAGTAACAAATGAAGGTAATGGTAACTACTGACGACGGTCTGAAATTAATCTCAAAAACTTAAAAAGATTAGGACCCGTTTACAAATAGGAAAAATATGTAATATTTACTGCCAGTATTGTGATTGTGAAAGATAAAATTTATTTTAGTGATGAATATAAAAATGAAAGATTACCTGAATTTGGTACTTGCATCTCTTAAAGCGGCCGTACAGTGAGGAATATGGGAGGTTGTAATGGATGGCCGCTTGGTTTATGGACATCTGACCTACCCTAAAGTATAACAAGATAAATATGTTAAATACTTATTAGCACTCGAACAATATTAATTTTTTTTATATATAGATAGGTCCTACAAATGACTCCACCCCACCTGATTTTAAGTGAAGGTGAAGTCCAGACGTGAAGATAGCTCATACAGCAGTTCTACCTGCCACACCAGCCATCCTCACCCTGCCGGCCTGCATGTTGCTTCTTCACACCTCATTTAAAGGATCCCAGGTTGTAAGAGGGAGGGAACACGTGAGCAGGCAGAGCATTCCATTTATGGATAGTGCGACAAATAAATGAGTCACCAAATTTCTTTGTACGCGTTGGAATTGTGGCCCACAATGGGAAAAAAATATACTGTTTTGTCAGTGTATATGATGAATTAATAAAATAATGAACACGGTTACAATGCTACCAAAGTAATATTACCATTATTGTATTAATGATAATAACATAAATATTATTTAAGACTGAGCTATAACTGAAAATCAAATAATTATGTAGAACAGTGTCTCTAAGTAAATTATATTTAATAATCATATCTATCGGCCAATTCATGTGCCCACTGATGGGACATATGCCCTAAGAAACAGAATAAGGGGTGACGCGGATATTTATACCGTGGGGATGCCCCACCACGTATGCCCACTTTATATTAGTGGTTGCTGACGACTGCACATAAAGCCGGGATCCAAAGTGAGTTTCTCTTCGAAGTACAGACGATTTCAAGAGAAATAGTAAAATTGTAACCATATCTTTATATTATGATACACGTACCTGACCGCTTCCAATGCTTCACCCATGGCGTCTTCAGACCACGGCGTGGGATTAGACCGCGACAGCTCGATGCCTTCTCGCTTACATCTTCCATATAGGGTACCTACAAATGAAATAATGAAGTTCAGCTATATCAAACCAGTGATATGTCGTATTCACAGAAATAAAATAAGATCATTGATCATGATCAATTTAAAGATAAGACACTGAGCAGCGAGAATAGTATGTGGCAGGTCTTCAATCATTAGCAAAAATATAGTGAACTCAAGGTACGTACTTTCCAACTCACACCTGATTTAGTGTAGTAGGAATAGTAGGAGACTAGGGCAATCCACATAAAACTCATTTTTCATCGTGGTTTCCACAAAAGTGAGTTTGTTCTTACAGAATTGCACTGGTATTTTCAAGATAGCTAAAATATCTATCAGTTTGGAAGTAAAAACATCAGGACTCATACTACAAAATCATACTTCAGAAAAGATGCTTATTTTTAACGACAATATATGATATTTCATATTAACTGTACTAGTGGATGCCCGCGATGCCTTTGTCTGCGTGGAATAATTGGTTTCTCATACAAACTTCCTTTGTTTACCCCCTCGAAGGATGATTTCTGGGATAAGTCCCACGTCGTCGTCATATCAATACATCGTAGTCTAGAACGTATATAATATAGGGATGTACAGATCGCGGCACGTAACTTAAGCGCTGAACAAAACGCGTCAGGGATAGCTGCGCATGGGTACGACTGGAGAGTCCATCGGCGCAACGCACGCCCACCCTCGCATCTCGTTTCCCCCCAAAACATCTTAATTTTTACTTCTACGCAATAACGGTCAGCGCTAGAGTTTCGTGCCGCGACTTATATTTATAACTGACCGGTGGGGATGCCGTACTGCGAGGCGGCGCGCTGCACGCTGCTGGCGCCGCAGCGGATGGAGGCGAGCGCGCGCTCGAGGTCGGCACGGCGCCAGGCGGTGGGCGCGGCGTTGAACGGCGCCGCCAGCCGGATACCCTCGCGCCGGGCTATCTTATACAGCGTGCTGCTTGGAATACCTTTTAAAATAGATAAACAGATAAATTAAACACATCTTCATCATCAACCTATTAATTGGCCACAGGCCTTCCCTATGGATGGAATAAGGCGATTGTGCCTTGACCCACCACGCGGGTCCAGTGTGGATTGGCGGGTCCTAACGATTGCAGATGCAGCCGGGACCAACGGCTTAACGTGCCTTCCGAAGCACGGAGTAACTCGAGCGAGAAGATTTTTGGTCACCCATCCAATGACCGACCACTACGAAAGTTGCTTAACTTCAACGATCGCAGCCGAACGCGCTTACCACCTGCGCCATGGAGCTCCTCGAAATTAAACACAAATTTTGAAATTTATTTTACTATGTTATATTTGCCACCAAAATTTAATGTGATCGTTTAAGGATGTACATTTAAATGTTGGTACAATTTAAATGTTGGTAAATAAAATAAAATTTACTAAGTTATATGTTTGTGTTGAATCCAAAAGCTAAGTTTACTTTTACCGACGTTAAAGTTCAGAATTATTCTGAAATCACTTCACATGCTAAATAATAAACAAACAAGCAACATTTAAACTATTCTTAAAAAACACTATTCAATTACGAGTACCACTCACCGTATGCTTTACTAGCTTTATTCGCGGATATAGCGCCGGCTCTGAGTGCGTGCAGTGCCCCTCGTAGATCCGCTTCGCTCCAGGACTTAGAAGCACCTTCCTTCTTCGGCGTGTCAATACCAAGCCTATGTGCTCGCTGCCATAACGTAGTGGACGGAATACCGTAAGTCGCGGAAGCCTAAGACAAAAACTTAGTAAGTTGTCAACAATACTTCACGTATATCCAATATTTGGTGAGACCGATTACTTTACAGGACTTTGTACTAAAAATCTATTTCCTTGTCCCATTTTAAAAGATCATAACAATCTATGCTTCTAAACCTAAAATATAAATGGTTTTATCTAACTTTCATTTGATTTACTGATTTCTTGAGTACTTTCGTTAAGTAGGCACTCATGTTATTCTAAAGTAAAAACCAAAATAGGATTGCCCTTATGTGTTAAAAGACTCAAAGGGAATGAAGAGTGTATGCAAAAGCAAGTAAGCCATTTTAAAAAACCTTAGTAAGGCTCATATTGTGTTTTCTTAAAGCCTCCAATGCATTATCCATGTCACGCTGTGTCCAACTCTTCGGGCTGCTTCTCGTATGCAACGGCTCCGTTTGACTGCATGAGTCGCTTGTGTCGTCACCGCTGAACTGTTGTTGTTCTATAAAGATAAATAATACATTAGATGTAACTATTTTTTTAACTACTTATACGTAATATATAGCATAGTTAAGTCTTTGCAGTAAACCATCACTAACTACAGACTTTAATTAAAACAAAAAAAATATAGGGTGTATAACTATATTTTTTTCTTACATGTAGTAAATAGTAGTGAGACTAATGTTAATCAATAATTTAGTTAATTTTAAATTAAATACATTACATTAATTTTAGAATTTTTATTTTTTTGTTTAATTAGGTTTTTCGAATACAACCTGGTACCCGAACAAGTAGATTTTATTTCAAATAAAAAAAACTATAAACTACATGATAATAAATTTATTCTGAATTATTGACAGAGCTTTTACTTTTATCGAAACTAAATAAATTGAGTGTTACATAAGCAACGATGACTTCATATAAAACTAGTATATTGAACAAAATTATTATAAAAATATTTACCTCCTTCAGATAGTGGTTCATCTTTTGCCATTAGAGGCATAAAGTCTGATGAGTCAGGCACTTCGGTGGAGTTAAGCATTGCAAGATGTCGGTCCAGCAATGTAGAACCCTACGATAAACACACAAAAAATTCAAGGTAGGTTTGAAAATTAAATAAATACCTATTTTGAGAAAACATTATTAAAACCTTTTTTTTAATCACTACTTAATAAAATCGAGCTGATTAGGGGAGTTATGCCCTAAGTTTGACCCTGTGTTGTGGATGTATGGTGCGAATTTTATGGAGAAAAGAAATTAAATATTACTTTACTAATGAGCAACAGGTAATTTGTTTTTAAAAAGGTGTTTAAAGTTTTATTTCTCCTATGCGTTCAAGAAACTTTGAATAACAGGAAAAAAACGGAGCTTTATAATAAATAAGTCAATTTGAAAATACCATTTCAGTTCATTAAACAATGTTTTCCACTTACTAATTTTGGTCGAAGCACTTAAGACTTTCAAATTCAGATTGTTTTCAACTTCGGGGCTACGAACGAAGTTAAGCAATCAAAGCCGGAATTCCGGAGTTGGCAGTTTTTTTTTAGAAAATAAGAAAAAGGGTCATTATTTTAGTTTGAGTCTTTTTATTACTGCATTTTCAATATAATGCGATTCAACTAAGAATAGGATCGACTGGGCGCCATTTTGTGATGTCATAGCTGTCAATTGAAACAAAATAGGTAGAGTGAGCAATAAAAGTTTTTCTTCGATAAAACTTATTTACTAAGATTGAGAAAAAAAACCACCGATTTTTAATAACATTTATTTATTAAGACTGTGTGAGTAAAAATATTAATCGGAATCTAGCTCTTCAATTCCGCTCAGCTCTGCATAACTACCGGAGTTGTCATCGTCGTCATGTTTGTTTACAAATGTTTGGATTTTTATTCTAGATTTTAGCTGAGTGCTAAAAAAGAGTTCCAAGATTTTATGCAAACCGTACTTTTCGAGCGTTATTTGACAAATGGAGGTCATTGGCTTTCCTATTCTTATTTGAATCGCTTTATACTTACGAGTATAGCATGCTCTAGCTGACCCGTTGAAATTCATACCGCCATATTTTTTTTGTTCGATTTTTATTGATTTTCTTTCATACAAACCGTTTTTTTAATAACAATATCTCACACACAGAATATAAAGAAAATAAGGTATCTAATTTGGTGTTGTCGTTTGGAAATTTAGCATGCATGCATTTCGTCGATTAATTTTTATTTAAATACCTAGATTCTAGGTCCTAGAAGATAAATTAAATTAAATCCTTTTTTAACTACGGATATGACAACTGCTTAAAATCGCTTCGAAACACCTGATAGAATTAGTTCTACTATCTCCGAAACGGCAGAACTACCACAAAGTTTGGAATGCAATATAACACAGAAAAGGGTAGGAGACCACAGATCCTTGAAGATAAATATGCACACTTTCGCTTTCGACAATTGAACACAGTACAATGTGTAATAAAATTAAAATATTGATTTATTTTTTAAATATCTTCAATATTTTTCCTACCATTTAGTTGCTTAAAAGCACAACGGTGGGATTGATTAGCACGTTCGGCTGTGATTATTGAAGTTAAACAACTTTCGCAGTGTTCGGACATTGGATGGGTGACCAAAAGTTTACTATCTCGAGCTCCTCCGTGCTTCGGAAGGCACATTACCGGCTGCACCTGCAGTCGCTAGCACCCACCAATCAGCACTGTCCCCGCGTGGCCACATGGCCCAATCTCCATATTCCATCCTTAGGGAAGGTCTGTGCCCCAGCAGTGGAGACATTGATAAGCTGGTGATGATGACGATGATGAATCACCGTGCAGTTAGTAGAGAGCGCGGGCTCCAGGTTCTCCAGCGCCACCGCCGGTATCTGCTGGACGCACATCGGTGTGGCAGCGGACCCCATTCTTGAACGTCAAAGGCCGCTGCATACACGACGAGTTTTTATCCGGACGGGACGGGACGGGAAGTTTTGGAAACATCGTTAAATACAAAATGTATCCAAAAACGCATATGTCACGGGTACATGGACGGGGCGGGAACGTGAACGGGAAAAATATCGTCACGGATAGGGATGCAAAGTCTTTTGAAATATCGATATTATATCGATATTTATATCGAAGTCAGGAAAATATCGATATCCGATATATCGACCATTTTAACTCGATATTATCGATATTTTTTTATTTTTTTTTATAAACATTAGAATACGGGGTGAGTGTGACACATTCATATGTTTGTTGGCGAGTTTCTCGCAAAATGCATTGAGCCAGCTTTTTCTTTAAACACGCTTGATGAAATCGCGCCAAGCAGGATTTTTTTTTTGGCTCGTATGGTTTGTGTTTCAGCCACGACAGGAAACCAAAAAATTAAAATTATTATCCTGATCAGATCACTCACATTTGTTAGCATGAATGTCGGACGACATTTGCGAATGCCTTCGCTAAGTTTTCACTACGTTCGTGCTTTTCCAAGATATGTCGGTTTTTTTAGCGCACATCAAATACGCAAATTGCTTAGTCTCCCACACATCAGGGGCTTCAGAATAGGGTAAGCCTAAAGCTTCAAAAATTACTATACCTATCTTACTTTCTTGACTTGGCGAGCTTAAAAATTTACGATTTGTATAAGATTCTTAATTTTATTTTGTGTTATATAACAATGATATTTAATTTCAATTAATCAGTAGTTGACAATTATCTAGAAAGAGAGGCAAGGATTTTATTTAAGTGCATGAGTTACCATTAGGTATACGATTATACCTATATACGTTGGTGTCGATTCTGGCATGATTATCTAAACTTAAAACTAAATTTAACATCAGTCTCACCTTGTCATTCTGTATAGAGAATGACAAGGATACACTGTTGTCAAATTTAATTTTAGGTTGAGAGAATCATGCCAGAATCCACACCAGTTTAGTATATTTCTTGGGGTTCAAGATTTTTTTAATACATCTATAAGCTCTTGCGATTTCAAAGCAATAGTTATTTCGATATTATTGAATTTAGATAGTCATAGCAGGTAAATTAATTGATATTATTGTGTTTAAATTTAGTCTACGAAATATCGATATTTTGGAATTTCCGATATCGATATTATCGATATCAGTGAATTTTAAATATCGATATAAATATCGATATTTTGGTCTAGATATTATCGATATTCCGATATATCGTTGCAACCCTAGTCACGGACGATGTTTAGCACGTCCTCGTCCCGTCCCGCCCCGCACGTGCCCCGTCCCGCCGAGATATGAAGTGACGCCTTGATCCAAGAATCTAAAATTGACAACGAAAAACTGATTTAGTGTGTACGCTCACATCCAGTTTTAAACAAATAAAGCCAATTCTTGAAATGAATGATCCATCTTTCCTTGTTCACAACACTAGCACGTTAGATCCGAATCACTGTCACGGTGCGTATGCGTTTGTACCACGTTCCCGTTTTGAACGAGATAATCACTTGCCCGCCCGAAGTATCGTATGCAGCGGCCTTAAGTTTCATCGTACTACTCACCGTGCAGTTATTAGAGAGCGCGGGTTCCAGATTCTCTAGCATGAGCGTCGGTGCCTCCACCGGCTCCTGCTTGACGCAACCCAGCATATCAGTAGGCCTCGTTTTTGAACTTTGAGTATTCAACATTCAATATCGTTTATTCAGTCTTAGCTGTTTCAAGCACTTGTGAATGACGTAAAGCTACGCCATCGGTTCGCAAATCTACGGCGGGAGACCTTATATAGAGACCATTATATTGAGAAGAACCGGCAAGAAACACAGCAAGGGCTGTTTTTTCTCCCTGTATTATATACATTCGTCAAATTGAAAAATGACTTCAAAATGAGGTAACTCATAAAGTCACTTTCCATTACAAATGAAAATAATATAAAAATTATGACTATATAAAAAACTGGTTTAACAAAGTTTAGGAATGCCGTGTCCTACTGTTTAGGCAAAAAAAATTAACGATTAAAGTTTAGTGCAATGATTAATAGTACCCAATGAAGCAAGAGCAGACTCATCTCCGCTGGCAGCACCCGTTCACGAGCATGACTTATGAACCAGCCATCGCTTCACTCAACCATTTTTTAGGGAACGCAACGACCCGCCTCACACGACACCGTACATCGTACACGTATGATCGTACTACTCACCGTGCAGTTAGTAGAGAGCGCGGGTTCCAGATTCTCTAGCGTGAGGGCTGGCGCCTCCGCCGGCTCCTGCTTGACGCACACCGGCGTGGCGGCGGGCCCCGCGGGCGCCAGCTCCTCCAGCCCTGTCTGATCGACCAAATATTTAAATAAAATACATGAAAGCAAGTTACGAACGATTCAACTATAACAAAAAAATAAGATCGGCATTAGGGTATTTGAAAAATTTTAGAAAACGATCTCACTTTGTTGACTAATGTTTATGGAGTCCGTAAAAAGTAGATATTCAACATTCTGTTGTGTATTTCAGTAAAAATAACCAAATCAAAAACTCCATTTTCAAGTTGCCGCGAAAGCGTTTCTCTGGACAATATGGCGTCTTACTAGTGAGTGACGTCACACGACTGTTATTTAAACGTCAAACGACACAATGTAATGTCACTTTAACCGGAAGTTTACTAGCGTATGACGTCATTTTAGGCTCCGCCAATTCCAAGCGTTTTGGGTCACGTGACAATAGATAAGAAAACTATTATCTTTCTCGTTAGTTTTTAGTAAAATTATGAATATATTTTTTGTAAATATAGTAAAAACCCCTGCCAATATTCATTCTAAATACAGATGCTAACAATTGGCACTTTATTTTTAACACTGTCAAATACCCTTTTTAACGCAATCATAAATTATACGCGTAGATATTAAGTACCTAAATTAAACATTCATTTGAAACTAGAATCAAGAATTTATATCTGAAAATAAAATGCTGTTATTTTTATTATTAGATCTTGAGCTCCCTACGCTTTTGAAGGAACTTCGCCGTATGTGCCGCCTGCCTACTGCATCTACAGTGGTTATCCCCATGGAGCTGAGATGATAATGTCTATATTTTTTTTTTAAATAATCCCCCCTGATTGTTGTGGCTACTTACGATCCTTGCATAGCCCAAATATCCTTTTTCCTGTAACTCGTGGAGCTTTGAGAACTTTGTGAACTTTGCTCAAAAGGGGTTAGGAGACGACACCACCTCATAATAACTTTTAGTTTTTTTCATTGCTGCTGCTTAGACACACATACATACATACATGCACACAAACCCACATAAAGTTAAATAAAGTAGTAGTTAGTTACATAAAGTTACCATGTGACAAATTCCTGAATATCCTTTTATATGGGTATTTGTTTCTTTTTCTTTTTTTTTGTCATTTGTTATGTCTTATTCAATGTTAATTCGACGACCACCGTTATCGAGTGGTTTGTACGCCCGGTTTCATGGTGTCACCGACTCGAGAGGTCCCGGGTTCGAATTCCGGTGGGGGCAGATGTTTGTGTGATGAATACGAGCATTTGTACTCCAGTTATGGATGTTTAATATGTATTTCTATATAAATATACTTATTTATGTACTGTATATGTATTCTATCCGTTACCCTAGTATCCCATAACACAAGTCTTACAGTGCTTACTTTGGGGCTAGGCTAATTGGTGTGAGTGTTGGAAATATTTATTTATTTTATTTGTTATTTATAATTTTATTTTATGTTAGTAAATTATATGATCCTTATACTTTTTTTAATTAATGTGATATTGATATATAGTAAGCGCCGTTAGTATCTAATGTGTACATAATAAGTTTCTGTAATTGGTCTTAAGATGGTTTTTATATTTAGTTGTATTACATCCGTAAATTCGCTGTAGGAACTTTGTTAAAGATAAATAAATAAATAATATTTCTGCTATTCCTTAATTTGTAAAGCAGCGCAGTTCCGTCATATTTAATAAGACGTATTTTTTATTTTGTCAAGCAACCAATAAATTTTCACATTGATCAACGCCAACGCTGAGATCGGGCAGCAAATACACAAGGTATATATGAAGGCCGATACCAAGTAGACCATAATTATTTATTATTCTCCGTAATCCACAAATCCTCGAATGAGCTCTCGGAATGAGATGCCTAGTCAGAAACAAACTTTTTTTTAGTGCCAACAATACACCGCCTCCAGAACGCTTGAAGAAATGAGAAGTGCATAGTAGATTCGCGGTCTCTACGATATACAGTGTATCTGTCATCAACAAATTCACCATTAGAGAAAGAACTAAGTTTATTTCACTTAAACAAATAACATCGCAGTTTTCACTTTTGATGTTTATATACAGTTGTTTAAAGGACAATGGGCAAAACGCATCCAGCTCCGCCAACAATGAAATTAGTATGAATCGATAGATCTATGAAAAACTAGCCTTTTTTATTATGACACCGTAAAAAAATATCCTGGGAGTCAAAAGATATTGCACCGTAAAAAATACCCTGGTAGTCAAATGATATGACACATGGGAATATTTAAGTAGCTCAATAAATTAATTTTATAGTACCTTTATTTTATATTATTAGTAACCATAATAATATGTCGTACTATACAACCAGATATACGATATTTTACTATAGTGCGGCAGAATAACATAAGGGGGCACCCTTGAACCTTGTAAAGTACTCCCATAATACCTGAGCCCTCTATGTAGTGTCGAACTAACTAACTAAATTAAATCCATTGTTTCATTTATGTTCGTTCGTTATAGTACTTGTACCTATTTAACTTAAAATAACTAAAGACCCCCGGGATGGTATTTGATGCGCTTTGGCACAAATGATCATGACTATAATACCTTTCAAACAAGTGTAGTTTAAGCCGTGGCGGACGTGGGTGCAGCGTCCATACATTTTTGCCCAATGTCCTTTGTTTCTAATACGGTTAACATTTTGATAAAATATTTTCATTAATAAGAATATTACATTTTTTGTTATATCTTATACATTACTAGGAATTGAAATAGATGATAATATAAACTGGAAGCCACATATTGATAGAGTAGTATCTAAATTATCTAGATTCACCTATGCACTCTACGAGTTAATTAACATTAACAACAGCTGTTGCTTTCTTTGTGTGGAATCTTTATACTCAGTTTATTGCAGTAACTTTTGAGCTAAATTGAATCCTACCTGCTGTTAGATTTATATAGCTAGTGTACCTGTATGTACTGTAACGTCCGTGACGTTACAGCCTCCTTGTTTAGGTAAACTCTTTGCTTTTGCAATGCCTACGGTTGGCAGTTATATTAAAAAGTTAATGTCATGATTTTAAGATTTGAAATAAGGAATCGTCTGTCTTTTGATAGAAGGTTCCATTCAAGAGAAGATCTTCAGGCACCAAGCAAACCTCTCGTAGTTAGATAAAAATCATTATATTCGCCTGAAATCTAATATAAAATAATAACCATCGTCAAGTTGTTTTAATTAATAACCACGTCCCCAGGTTCTATCCATTCTGGCTAGAGCTCCATAGTACCTACCTGTAAATGCTGCAAAAGATTGGTCGGTACGCCCTCTTCTTGACCACTCTCATTTTCCACTTTGATTGGACACTGGCCCAAAGACGGAAGCTGCACGAACAAAGACCATTAACCAGGTACATCAAATAGTCTGAAACTTAGGACTATACTCACCCCCATATGAGCATTATTATCGGACGACAATAGGGGTGATGACGGGGTACAGTAAACGAAATTCTATTTAGTCCGTCAGTTAGATGATCAAAAAATAATGGACACGTATTTTTTCTTTGGGCAATCAACCAAAAACTGACAAAGTTATAGCGCGTCAAAGTTTGGGAGTAGGGGCTCGTGACGTCACTTTTGAGTGAATTTTCACTTATAAGTGTACTCAAACGTGACGTCATGCGACTTTTCAAATCAATATATCTCCGCAATGTTTATGTTATCTAAAAAAATAAAAAATAAGTGTCCAATACTTTTTGATAATCTACCTGATAAACGAAGAAAAAAAAATAGTCATCATCCCTATTATCAGATACGTTTTTCGCGTTTTTTTTTAGTACATTATGTATGCTACGAAGTTACACACTGCTGCGATAATACTGACATAATAGAAGTATGGACGTTATAGAGGAGCTCGATGGCGCAAGTGGTTAGCGCGTTCGGCTGCGATCGTTGAAGTTAAGCAACTTTCGCAGTGGTCGGTCATTGGATGGGTGACCAAATATTAACTATCTCAAGCTCCTCCTTGCTACGGAAGGCACGTGAAGCCATTGGTCCCGGCTGCATCTGCAGTCGTTAGCACCCGCCAATCCGCACTGGGCCCGCGTGGTGAGTCATTACCCAATCTCCCTATTCCATCCACAGGGAAGACCTGTGCCCCATCAGTGGGGACATTAATAGGCTGATGTTGATGATGATGATGAACTGGAGGAGAATAAAATCTAACGGTAAATTGCTCAAGTATGCGATTAACGGGACTATAAAAAATTAACAGGTTTACAAAGTCACAAATTAAGACATCGGAAACAACGGCGCGGCATCTTAATAAAAATTTGTGAAATATTCGTATGACGGCCAGCAATTTTTTTTAAATACTCACCAATTAGCCTAGCACCAAAGTAAGCACTGTAAGGCTTGTGTTATGGGATACTAGGGTACCGTTCTATCCGTATAGAATACATATCTATACATATATATAAGTATGTTTATATAGAAATACATATTAAACATCCATGCCTAAAGTACAAATGCTCGTATTCATCACACAAACATCTGCCCCCACCGGGATTCGAACCCGGGACTTCTCGAGTCGGCGACACCATGAAACCCGGCGTACAAACCACTCGACCACGGAGGTCGTCAAATTCCACCGATGCGAAGATAACTGATGCGATAGGGATGAGTTTATTTCTTGCTCCAACAGAAGTTGAGTTAGAACGGATTTCCCACTCGAATTGGAACGCCCGCCTGGGGCCGTAACCACATTTAGAATTTTTTTGTAACTTTCCACATTAATATTATAAATGCTTATAGTAACTCTGTCGATGTGCCTGTCAGCTTGTTTGTTACCTATTCACTCATACCCCCTTAAAAATAATCGAGGAATAAGCTAAGACTAATTACACCGTGTTTTATTCCTGTCACTCAAGTGCCATTTGTCATTCAATGGACAGAGACAAATACATAAATAAATATTTCCAACACACACACCAATTAGCCTAGCCCCAAAGTAAGCACTGTAAGGCTTGTGTTATGGGATACTAGGGTAACGGACAGAATACATATACTGTACATATATAAGTATATTTATATAGAAAATACTAATTAAACCTCCATGACTGGAGTACAAATGCTCGTATTCATCACACTAACATCTGCCCCCACCGGGATTCGAACCCGGACCTCTCGAGTCGGCGACACCGTGAAACCCGGCGTACTTACAAACCACACGGCCACGGAGGTCGTCTAACGAAATCATGGAGTAACTAATCCAAGCTAAGTGTTCTTTTATTAATAAGGGTCTTGGATTCGATTTTTGGGTATATCTAGGAAAGATTTGATTGTTTGTTTGTATTGAATAAGCTCCGAAACTATTGGACCGATTTGAAAAAATCTCTGGACATTTAGAAAAAATAACATTTTTGTGTGCATATGTGTGAAAACAATTAAATATTTCACAAGAGAAAAACTACGTAAGCAAATTTTCCAAACGATTTTTATTGACAGACAAAAAAGAACAAAATTATTTTACATTACAACGTCACTTCAAACGATAGACCCCGACATCTAAACACTTTTATAAAACATAATCACAAAACAAAAGAATACGCTCTTATCTGTGGACCGAATTATTCTATAGTGCTATAAATTGAGAGGTTATGGGCCGGGGGAGAACCGGCAGACGTGGTACATCGCTCCTGGGGAACCTCTTAGGGAAAAAGCCGTTGAAACGGTCTAAGCAACGCTCCCGATTGAGTTTTGAAGCGGGCTACCCGACTTTGGTTGTCTGATCCAGAAATAATCTCTAAAATGAGCCCGAGTGGCCAGCTAACTCTCTTTTTATCGTCTGAGCCGACAATGACGACGTCACCTACCTTCAACCGATATTGTGTTCTTTTGACAGAAGATTTTTGAGCTAGTAAAGATAAATATTCGCTTCGGAACCGCTGCTTTAGGTCGTCGTGCAATTTTATTAGATAGCGCCACCGAGCCGTCAGAACAGCGCCATCCAATTGACCAAACAAATCCGTGTCGAAAGTATTTGTCGACCCTACGTTCAAGAACATCGCAGGTGTAAGTGGGACCACATTCTCACAGCTCACAGCAATGTATGTTAAGGGTCGGGAGTTTATCAAAGATTCAACTTCGCAGAGTACCAATACCAACTGTGACCAATTGGTCGAGCTGCAGGGCTGCTTTGCCAAGTACTCTTCTCAGTGTTTCCTTGACATTTTTAATAAGTCACTCCCAAAACTATGTTTCTGTCGGTGAATAAAATTGCGGGATGTCGATTCTGCTAAGTTATAATAATAATAGTATGTCAATTATGTTGCCGTAGTTTTGATTTTTAACACAGTTATTATTTGTTAGTTAGTTGGTATTTTTTGTTATTTCAGTGTTACCAACCCTTACCAAAATTTACCCTTAAGTATTTTTTAAATTCCCCTAAAATCCCCTAAATATTATACAATTTTTTAAGTACCTACGTATTACCCAAATTCTTTCGTTGCTCATAAATTAAAACGTTACTTAATTAGTAACAGTAAATTATTTTATTGTATAAATACAGTTTCCGAAAGGACAATCAAACGAAAATGAGCTAACAAACTGTTAAATCCTATTTAGCTGTTTTTTTAACTTTAGTCCATACAGCCTTAGGAAACAACCCGCCACACAGTCAGTTCAGTCGTTTCATATCGTGGTGCGCTCCATTCTACGCACAAAACTGAAAGAAAACACACGCTTTGTTTTTCGATTTAATTGCAAGTTTTGATAAAAGTCCCTAAAAGAACCCCCAAAAAATTGTAGCCCCTAAAAAAGTCCGTTTTAACACTTCTAGCCCCTAAATCTGGGGGAAAAACCCCTAAGTTGGGAACCGTGGTTATTTAATGATGTAGTAACAGGTATTGTGTCAAAAGGCGATTCTATTGAATTACTACTGAGACACGATTTTTACGTTAGTTCAGCAGAATCGACACCCAATGGTCCACGGGCTAGGGGATGTTGTGAGTTAAGCAACGGCGCAGGGATACACAACAAACACGCTCCCTGAATTCCTCGAGGTCTTAGCCAATGGAAATAAACAGTTGTAAATATTTAGAAGTATCAAAACACCGAATCTTTTAAACTCGATGAAAAAACTAGGAATACTAGACTTTTAAGCTCCATACAAAAATCATAAAATATATTATCATCACTTTATCTATATATATAAAACTCAAAGGTAACTGACTGACATAGTGATCTATCAACGCACAGCCCAAACCACTGGACGAATCGGGCTGAAATTTGGCATGCAGGTAGATGTTATGACGTAGGCATCCACTAAGAAAGGATTTTGATCAATTCTAAGCCCAAGGGGATAAAATAGGGAATGAATGTTTGTATGAAACTTTGTCAATTTTAAATCGATCGGGCTGAGACTTTGCATGCAGGTATAAGAAGAATCATAGATGAATGTCATTGTGTATAATACAAGTCTGAGAACAAAAACTGTAGTCTACACTTCAGCTCTACACCGAAGCGAAGCGAGAGCGGGCCGCTAGTTTATTATAAAGGGCAAAATCATAGAAAATAACTTAAAATTATTACGATTTGTTGCTACAATCACTTGGGAAGTCGAAAAGCTGTGGCAAAGGTTCGCCTGTCTACATCGGGATTCGGAAATCCAACTCTACACACGAGAGTGGACACACGTGTGTCCAGTTGGTGAAATTAAAAATTAGTATCACTAATTATTTCGTCATCTAGACACGCCAAGATTTCTTTGCATCTCCACATAGTGAAACTTAAACTTTGACGTATAAAAATGTCATTGAACTCAAAATTATTTTGATGTTTTCGCCAACTGGGCACACCAAGAAACTTACTTAGATATTTTTTTTATTGCAGAATTTTAACTTAGGTTTTTCTTTATTTATTTTTATGAATTTAATAATAAGTATAATATACCTGATGGCTGAAGTACACGTGCGAATACTGGGAGTTGCTGTCCTCCGCATCCGACGGCGGCTCACACTTGACGCTCGTGGCGTCGAGCTGCGGCCCCGGCATCCTACAACACGTCACCGGGACACCACATACAACAGCATCTTCATAACGCAACCCAATTAAGTATCTCGGTCGTAGCCTCTCAATTACTAATCCCGAAACACCACACTCGCCCCTACCTCATCACCCCACGCTACACCTCGTCAAAACAAAACAATAACTTTTCGCGCAAACTTTACAACCGCAATATTTACTCGACACATTGCCGCTACGAGACAAAACTGCAAAGTAAAGCCCCGTCTTCCCGGCACAGTATCGCGGCATCGCACACACTTACACTTGTATAGGTTTACATAGGCAATTAGACAAAAGGAAGCGAGCTTTATTGAATTTTTTCTCGATTGGTGCACAAATGAAGAGTACAAAGTTAGTCCTCTCGCTCTGTCCGAAGCCAGACCGTCTCCCGAGGTTTTTTAATTCCGTTTGTTTTGCGCTCGTCGTAGTCTGATACACAACCATACGGATACATAGCGGTGCTCCGCGGCCGTCGGTAAAGTTACACCGAAAGTTCGTATAGTGGCACGAGTTCCCGCGTATCTAATTCAAAACTTTATCGCTACTAGCGCACGTGGCGGCGGAGGGCGATAGAAGCGACTCTAAAACTTAGTTAAATAGAGTGCACACTATTACCGCTACACCTGTCGGGGGAGTCAACCCGTTCGCGTCATGTCGCGGCTTCCGTGTCCGTGCCTCCTCTGCGCTCCTCCGACACATTCACTTTCACCGTCTTCCCGACACGAAGGACGGTGCAAAACGGGGCGCCGATAAACGCGAGGGAAACGAAAGACGAGGGCGCGAAATTCACTCACTCACCTAGTCGGTCAGCGGAGGGCGGCGCAAGCACCCGTGCCCCGGGCGAGCGCTGCACGGTGACCTTCGGGTACGATGAGATGTCGCAAATGAAAGTGAATCAGGCACGGCACACACCCGGCCGAGTCTGCGTCGCTGCGTGGCGCATGTTTAGGAGGTGCAGGGCGGGCGCGTGCTCATTTTTTTTCGCGCCGAAGAAATAAAAACAAACGCCTTTTTGCCGGAACCGGCGGCGGCGGCCGCGGCCGCGGGCGCGCTCCCTCCCGCCTCCTGCGAGAGGAGCGCATCGGAATTCGGAACGAGTTTTCGAGGCGCGATTTCGCAACTCGATTTCGTTCGCGAGAATGGTACGTTGCCATTGTTCGCAAAGAATTCCTCATAAAAATTAGGAAGTAAGTGAATATGTACGATTGGGGGGGTAGATGCAGTATAAGTATATCGTGCGGCGTGGGGGCAGGCAGGGTGGCGACCGGCCGGCGCCCTGCGCGGCGCCTTCTCTCCGCTCCGATTGATTTTTATTACAAGAATTTCGCTGGTGGTTTTTTTTTTGTTTCCCCGCACATCGAAAGCCAGCCGACGCACACAGCGACAATCGTATAATTCGTTTGTACGGACTCACTAATGCTATTGATTTTTATAACGAAGAGAGCGCACCAACAGGGAGGCTTTGTTCCTCCGCGAAATCATCAAAAACAATGCATGGTAACTTTCCGGAAGTTATTAAGTTTCTTCTGGAAAATTGTTAACTAAAGAAGTTTTGGGTAATGCCTTAAGCAATGGTTGTGCATTACAATGAAATCATATAGTAACGTTGATGAGGAATATAATTAAAATTAATAGTTTAAAAAACTAAAAACACGCTTTTACTTATAGCACTAAAAAGTCAAAAATAAACAGAGTATACTCTCTGTTTACTTCATTAGCGCTATAGTAAGCCATGTTTATAGTTGATTTTAAATAAAATAAAAAAATAATATATATGTAATAATAACTGAAAAAGCGTGGGGAGCTTCACTATTGCTAGACTTTTTTATTACCCCCCTTTAAAGTGAAATAAACAGAATATATTAAGACGAATGTAATGAGCCAGTAGGCAGTCCCGGGTCCATCAGTCACCTTCCAGTCCATCATCAGGTCCTCGTCATCAGAAGAAATGAACAGAATGTGTTAAGACGAATTTAATGAGCCCAAACTCGATATGTTTACTAGTAGGCAGTCCCAGATTCCATCAGCCACCTTCAGTCCCATCATCAGATCAGCTCGGTGGTACCATGATATTGTATTGTCATCTAATCTACATATATTTGCCAAGTTTAAAGTAAATCTGATCGCTTAAAGTTGGGCAAAATCGAGTCCAACGAGTCAGTTACATACATATGTACAAACAAACATACAGGTGAAACTAATTTAAAAGCGTGTTAAAAAAGACAAGACTTAATTATCACATTCATAGTCTACACTACATGACATCTTTAATCTTCTTTAGGAGGGTAGTGAAAGAAAAACAAATTATAAACGAACACACTTTATTGTTTTATGGTAAACTAGCGGCCCGCCCTCGCTTCGCTTCGGTGTTGTACGAGTCACGTACAGTAATATTGTATATCTGCAGAGCAAGCATAACCTACTTTAATCACGTAGATGTATCTAAGAAATGCATCATATTACGTCATTGTATTAAGTATATAAAAACATTTATTTTCTTAATAAATCAATGCTCGTCATGCATTCAACAGTAACAGTTGTCTTTCTTCCTTTATCCTAATATCATTAGGCAGGGGGTCACCCCTACAGTTTGGTCCTTCGAGTTATCAAAATATGAACCTTTCAACATATACGGTCCTCCGAGCTTGGAAAAGCGGGATCAATTCGCGACAGTGACTGTTCCTGTGTAACCTGGCCATGGATATCGACAACACTAAGGTACTTATCATAATATATTATTTTTCATCAAAGAATATTTTTGACAGTGGCGAATCGATTCACCCGGCCTCCCACAAGCGGATCTCACTGGCTGAATTGAGAAGGCGCATACACTGTGATGCAAGTAGATAAACGAAAGCTGCTTTATAGCAGCTTAGCATCTTATCACATACGATCATGGTTTTACACGAACGTCGAGAAATATCAGGAAGGAAGGGCACTCGATTACTCTGTGAAGACAAGACATGGAGCGCAAGTTAACGTAATAATTTACAACAACAGGAACACCATTATCGCCATTTGGTGCGTTTGGGTCATTTAAGAAGCAGCATCCATATCAGTATCAACACCGTCTTCATCGCTGGTGAAATGAAGCCGCAACAACTTCGTCAACTTGCACAGGAAGTAGTATCGCGGAACATAACAAGGTTTGAGAGTCCTAGCATTAGCAGAACGGCTAGGTTTATGAAATGACTCAATTAACATTTCTTGTTTTAAGTATCTTCTTAGGAGTAGAGTATTATTAATATGGGCAAGCATATATCATATCATTGATTAAATTTAGTATTTAAGTATCAATTAAACCAATGTGGAGACAATCACTGATATCGTTTATATCATTTATATCATTGGGGAGACATCCTTTATTTTTATAATATCATTTTTTTATATTTTTTATCAATTATAACTTATAGCAAACAATCTACATTACAAATCAATAAATTTAGCATTTAAGTATCAATTATAACATTGGGGAGACATCCACTGATATCATTTATATCATTTTGTAGCATTAAGGAGACTTGCTATAATTATCATATCAATCAATTCTATTTTTTATCAATCGTAACTTGTAGCAGACATTCCACGTTACAAATCAGTTAATTTAGCTTTACTAAGTAACAATTAAACATTGTGGACATATCCACTGATATAATTTTTGCTGGCTCTATCATACGAGTCAACTATCATTTCTTGTTTTAAGTATCATTTTGGAGAGAGAATGTTATTGTGTTACATAAATATCATATTTATTAATTGAGCATTTTTTATCAATTTAAACTTTGGAGACTTCCACCGAATATCATTTTCAATATCAATCAATTTATCAATTTAAACATTGTGGTCACATCCACTGATATCATTTTTATCAATCATTAAGATTAAGGAGCACCCTAGACTTAGATCATTTTGCAACAAGTAAGTAAGGTTCGGAAAATGTGGTCTAAGTTTTTAGTATAAGTCATAACATTGCTATCTTATTATCAAGAATGCAACAGACATATAATGTTTCATAATAATGTCGATCAATTAATCAGCAAAAATATGCTGTTATTTATATGTTATAATGTCATGTCAAGATTTATCAAACAAAAACCGAATTGAGCAAACAGAGATTAATTTGTAAAAAAAATGCATAGCAAGTCGGAAGAATATGTGCAAGTAAAAATAATGTGTGTCACATTCGTATGGGTAAAGTGCTAGATCATCAATCATGTGCTCGAGTCAATGTAACTATTATGAAATTAAATTTAATTATAGCTGTAATAACGACTGTTTAGATCTTAAGTTATAAGTTTTCATTGAAGGCAAATAAGTAAAAAGCTACTTTCTTTGTAATTGTGGTTGTAAACATTATTTGTAAAATAATATTGTATCAAAATTGTATATCTTTGTGTTTTAAAATGTGAAAGGATGTTAAAGTCGAAATCAATGAGTTTATTATTTAAAATGTTTCTAAAACAAAGTGAACTGCATTTAAGTTAAATCAAAATATATTTTATAATTTCATACATAATTTTACTCCTAAAGATTATTTAGGTAAATGATAAAATGGAATAATTGTAGGTTATTAATTCAGTAAACACTATCATGAGGAATAGAAAAGGGAGCACCTTCGAGCCAGCACAGGCTTATGTATCATGCAAATAAATGGCTTTTACGACACATAATTTTGGTTTGTATGCACATACAAAATCTTATCAGAATCAAATCAAGTTGAATAAATACCTATTTGTCAAATTTGGAGTTCTTCATAAGGTAGATCAATTAATAATTGTATAGTTTGTTTAGATATTTTGACATTTTGTAATCATGCACTTTGATGTGAATATGTATAAGATTTCTGGTATTGTATCATTGTTTGTTTTTCTTTTCTTTTAAATTGGCAATATGTACGAGTCACGTACAGTAATATTGTATATCTGCAGAGCAAGCATAACCTACTTTAATCACGTAGATGTATCTAAGAAATGCATCATATTACGTCATTGTATTAAGTATATAAAAACATTTACTTTTCTTAATAAATCAATGCTCATCATGCATTCACAGTAACAGTTGTCTTCCTTCCTTCATCCTAATATCATTATGTAGGGGGTCACCCCTACAGGTGTAGAGCTGAAGTGTAGACTACAGTTTTTGTTCTCAGGCTTGTATTATACACAATGACATTCATCTATGATTCTTCTTATACCTGCATGCAAAGTTTCAGCCCGATCGGTTTAAAATTGACAAAGTTTCATACAAACTTTCATTCCCTATTTTATCCCCTTGGGGGTAGAATTGATCAAAATCATCATAGTCATAACATCTACCTGCATGCCAAATTTCAGCCCGATCCGTCCAGTGGTTTGGGCTGTGCGTTGATAGATCACTATGTCAGTCAGTCACCTTTGAGTTTTATATATATATAGATTATAATAGTAAGATACCATAAACGTCATAAAAGTTCAAACGTTAGCACAGGACGGACTTTCCGCTCGAATTAGAACAACAAGGATTGGTAAAATTTCTCCACCTTACAAAAAACTACAGCCAAATAACACTGAACTATTGAGTTCCTTCAGCGAGAGAAGGAACACACAGTATTCTGTGAGTAAGACTTTTAGAGCTCCACGGGGTAGGGTACTGGATATGTATTTTTTCTTTTTTCACATAATATAAACATTGCAGAGATATATTGATTTGAAAAGTCGCATGACGTCACGTTTGAGTACCTCAAAAGTGACGTCACGAGCCCCTACTCCCAAACATTGACGCGCTATAACTTTGTCATTTTTTGGTGGATTGCCCAAAGAAAAAATACGTGTCCATTATTTTTTGATCATCCAACTGACGGACTAAATAGAATTTCGTTTACTGTACCCCGTCATCACCCCTATTATACCTACTCGAATATCCCAAGGCTTATATTGCGCCGCTACGTATCTATAGTATCTCATTTTCATATCAAAAATATCTGTTTTAACATATTTGCTCAAAAAATATGTATTTACGAAGGTTTTATACATTGTTCGAAAGTTCTAAAATTACCGATTAGTTATTTATTAACCGACTTCAAAAAAAAAGGAGGTTCTGTGTTCGACTGAAAATAAAAAAAAAAATTTTTTTTTTTTATTTAAGTTCGCCGATTTTGATACAAGTAAGTCGAGGGCTTACCATAGTCACGAATTTGTAAATACCAATCCTCAATGTCATACAACGTTTTTCAACACATTTACGAGAAAACAGTACCTGTATCTACCAATCCCCTATTATTACCCATCAAACCCCACTTTAACCCACCAATCCCTTATTATCACCCACCAATCCCCTTATCACTCACGAATCCCTTCACCCTCCAATACCCCTTTCCACCATCGAGTCCCTTTTTTACATCCTCCAATCCCATTTTCATCCTCCAATCCCTTTTCACCCTCCAATCCCTTTTCACCTACCAATCCCCACTTTCACCCACCAATCCCCTATTACACCCATCAATCCCCATTATCACCTCCATATTATCACCCATCAATCACCCTCCAATTCCTCTTTTCACTCTCGAATACCTTAGTCACCCACAAACGTTCTATACAGAGCGCAAGTGAGGGACTGATGTTGGGTCTGGAGAATGATGTCGGAACGGATACGAATATGTACATAATATTAAGTTTTGTGGTTTTGAAGTGTTTGCACTAGGTTCCCTCATTTTGTTTATCGTAAGTCTACTTCGTAAGTATTTTTTTACTCATGCAGTGGCAGCCTTTAAGTAAGGCAGCACTAAGAATTGTTTTCTTTTTTTCTTTCTCAGTTTGTATTGTTATTCGGTGTTTGTTTTGTTGGCTGTCCTTAATTAATAAATAAATATAAAAAAGAATCCCTTTACACCCTTCTATTCCCTTTTCCCTTCATCTCCTTTCACCCTCCAATCCCTTTTCACCCTCAAATCCCGTTGCACCTACGAATCCCCTTTACATACTCCAATCCCCTTTTCACCCTGCAATCCCTTTTCACCCTCCAATCCTCTTTTCACCCTCCAATCCCCTTTTCTCCTACCAATCTTCTGTCCTTATTCAGTTTAACTTTCTGATACAGATACTCCTCCTCTCTCACTCTAACCCACAGCGCCGCTTAGATTAGTGAGATTCTACAGAAAAAAAAACCCAATTAATACGCACGGCGCCTTGAATGGGAGCGTCCAATTAAATATTTTACCTCCCGCTTCGTTGGATGGCTCGTAATTTTGAACTTTCAAAAAATGTATACAACCTTTTTTTTTATTACTCAGGTAATAAATCTTTTTACAGACGACGGCGCCTTTAAGAGGCACACCGCCGAACGGACCTCACACCTGGCTCCCGCAAGTTTTACGAACCCCCCAGTGGCTGCCCACCTGGGACCCTGCAACTCTTACGGCTTAATATCCGCTAAAAAAGTCCTGCGAATACCTTTACCACTGCCTGATGCGAAGCCGCGGGATCCCCTTGGTGGGATTTCTCCGCGTCCCCGCACCTAGCAGCTTCCCGGCCTCGCCGGGGCTCCACGGCCGGGATCTCCCGAGGTATTACGGGGACCCCGCAGACGTGCGCTGGATGGCCCGCGCATGGGGGCTGGGCACGCGCCGCCACCCCCCTTTGCAGAACAGAACTGCAAGAGGGGGGCCGCCATTCCTGAGGGAGCGGGAGGGGGAGCAAAATTCTCCGCATCCTTCTCTCCTCTCCCGGTCGCCCGCGTCTCCTCACCGCTTCTCATAGGAGAAGAGGGGGGAGACACGGGCGACTGAGTTGGGGAGTCCGAGCGGCCTAGGCTACTCAGACATCTCCTCCTCATTGGGCACCCGTTCGGGTGCCGGCGGCTTAGCGACCACTTTGTCTGGGGGTTTGTCCCTGGTGACTGGCCTTTCTACCCTCCTACCGCTGCGCCTTCTGTGCGCCAGCCTTCTGGGCTGGCACCTTCTGCGCTGGCATCTTCTGCGCTGGCACCTGCGCTTTCGCCACCTCCGCTATCGGGGCCACCCCTGGACCCGCAACCTTCTTCTTGGCCTTCTTTCTGACCACAACGCTCCACTTCTCTTCACCGCCAACCGCTGCGGTCGTCTCTGCCTCCGTACCACGCCGGTCCGCCGCTAGGGGCGGTCTGATCCGCTCCGGCGGGGCAGTCTCCCTTCCAGCGAGGCCACCCGAGTGCTGATCTGCCATCTCCCCTATGGAAATCATAAGGGAGCGTTTCAGCTCCTCGGTGACCTCGGACGATAGCTGGATGAGGGATTGAGGAGACGCAGGGTGCGCCCCCTCCCTCATCTGCTTCCGCAGCACCTCCAGTTCCTTACGCAGGGCCGCCAGCTCCATCCCGATCTTAATACTTACTCTCCACGACCGGCTCCACCGTCATCGTAGCGGCTTCTGCCCCAGCCGGTGGGAGCCGTTTCTTCTCCAGGTCGTCCGTGGAGAGCGAGTGCCTCAATTTATCCAACTCCACTTTGAGTCCCCAATTTTCCGCGGTGTACTCTTGCACCTCCTCCTTAAGATTTCCTATCTCCACGACGCACCTGGCCAAGGACTTCTTGGTCTTCATTTCTGCGCGTTGGGCCCTTTCCAGCCCGTCGGACAACTCGTTGATGATGTCCTGCTTTCTTGAACACGAGTCCACCAGATCCAAGAAAGCCTTACTCTCACTCCTGAGCGCACGTGCGGCACTATCATCCCTACTCTCCTTCTCGCTGTTCTCCTCCAACTCGGGAGGATCATTGCGTTCCTTCGCCGCCCTTCTCCTTCCCCGACGAGCAGTGTGGATCTTGGGGGGTGTGGGTGCAATCCTTCGATCCTCGTCATCGTCATCGCCTCCTCCTCTAAGTCGTTACAGGATTTTGCCTTTTTCTCCCTCGATCGCCTTAGTAACTAATTTACCACTGCGAGACCCGGTAATCCCGCAGCGGCGCCGGTGGCCAGCCGGAGCGCATTGGCCGCTAGGTACAAACTTCTCACCAGGCCCAGCTACCCCAGAGCGCCCGGCGTCAACGGGAGCGCATGGCATACACAAAGAAAAGGTCGACATTTTCATTAAGGTTTTTCCCTCTTCCGGGCGAGGGAACCCTACCTGGCCTCATCGGTAATTTTTGAAAAGGTTTTCTTCCTTGCAGCCCCCGCCCCGAAGGACGCCGGCCCCCGGCCCCACACCACGTGCGGGGTTACGGGTTGGCCGGAAGCGACGTGGAGTTCGCGCCGCAACCGCCCTCTCCAATGGCGTTTCCGCCCTAACCTATAGAGTCTCGACCACCGCTACCCGGGCTACCCAGTGCGCCAGCCGAGAGACCCCTCGGGTGATTTTTTAGAGAGGTTGTCTTCCTCGCAGCCCCCGCCTCCAAAGGAAACAGTTCCTTTGCAGACGGCGGCCCTCGGCCCCGCACTATATGCAGGGTTATGAGCTTGACCCGACTGCCGCTACCCGGGATACCCAGGATGCCAGCCGAGACCACCACCGGGTAATTTTTTAGAGAGGTTGTCTTCCTCGCAGCCCCCGCCTCCAAAGTAAACAGTTCCTTTGCAGACGGCGGCCCTCGGCCCCGCACTATGTGCAGGGTTACGAGCTTGACCCGACTGCCGCTACCCGGGATACCCAGGACGCCAGCCAGGTCTCCACAGCTGGGTATGGTCCACGCCGGCCGAAGCCGGTACCCCCCATCCGCCACCCGGACGCGCCCGATAGCAAATGTATACAACCTAGGTAAATGCATATTTTGAGCAAGTGTGTTGAAAAACATTTCACCTTCTACTTATGAACAAAGTACTTCTGTAAACTAAAAAATAAACTCGTTATGCAATTTATAATCATAATTTAACTTTCAATTTTTCACTTTTAAATTTTGACAAGCTCAATGTCGGTCTTGATACTGAAAAGTCCCGACGACGTTAAGTGCGAGACAGACAGAAAACACGTAAACCACAGACGGGGCGAGGACATCCACATCAAAAGTTAGTTATACTTAACTTATTGTTAAATAATAATGTTAATGTGATGAAATATGACATCAACACATGTTTTTAGTTTTTGATGTCATCTTTCAATTGACGACACTGTATGAAACAAAACAGGGAGAAAAAAATAGCCCTTGCTGAGTTTCTTGCCGGTTCTTCTCGGTACAAGGTCTCCCGCCGTAGATTTACAAACCGATGGCGTAGCGTTTGACTTTCACAAGAGCTTGTAACTTGTAACAGCCTAGGCTGAATAAATGAGTTTGAAATTGAGTTTGAAAAAGATTTGAGTGATTCTTTTTTTGTTCGATGGGAGATGTAGAAATAGACTGAGAGCTGGCTCTCCAGTTCCGCAGACTTACTGTATAGTAGCAAACTCCATATTAATGCTAGTTATACTAATTCATCTGCCGTAGCCGTAGCTCAAATGGGGGTTCACTATTCCCATAGAGGGTTCCTTTGTTCACTATTCCCATAGAGGGAAAATCGACTTTCAAAACGTGATCGCAACATGTCTACCGTTTTGATTTTTGCACGATTGAGTAAGAAAGATATAAAGGGGATTGCGCAAAGTTGACGTCATTTTTAAAAGTTGCGGCCACTAATGATCTTTTTTTCCTACGATAGAACATATTAGAATATTCTATTTCTTCTAAAGCCGTTACCGTCTAAAATATATCGGAGCTGAGATATTTCAGAAAAAAAGTCTAGTAAAGTCAGTTTATGAAAAAAAATACGTGTGTTATGCAGTTTTTTTCTTTGATATTAATTCATGTTAGACTTTTTGAGCGTGGTGACCGATAAGAAATAGTACATTACGATACGCGTGACCTAAGTTGCCTATTACTGCACGGCGTGAACAACTTAGGCCACAAGTATCGTATACTATTTTATAGCAAGTGTGACATAAACCCGTCCCGGACGCGGGCAAGAGGGGGGGGGGGTTCGGGTTCGAGGGATGCGATTAGTATTTTGAAAGTAAAATTCATGTATTGCAATCACAAAGAATTGCAATACAGACTGCAAGTCAAACTCTAAAAAGAAAGAATTCCGGTTCAGATTACCATTTTGAAAGTATATTTCAAAAGGAAAAAATCAAATATCATTACAACAAAATAGAATTTCAATGTATCCATGAACGTTTATTCCTTGATTGGCATAGTAAAGTTAAGTTACGCGTATCGTTATGTACTAATTCTACATGAGTGAAGTTGGTCAATTCATTTACACACCGTGCAGAAATAGGCAACTTAGGTCACGGAAAAGCGTGCGTAAAGTGCGGGTTTAGGTCACACTGTGCTATAAACATTTTTTTTCCATCTCCTTCATGCAGTCGGCCAGCATACTTTTTATATCACTGGTGTGATTGATCTGGCGGCGTTCTCCTTGGCCTTACCCTGGACCTCATCTTCCTTTGGAGAGCCACTGGCCAGGTCGACAGGTTCCCGTACAGCAACCGGTTTTTCGGGCTCGGAAGATTCGCTGATACCATTTACAAGTGTACGCGTGTTGTCACCCCTGCGTGTGCTCTTCTTGCAGTTCGGGCATATCCAGTCCTTGCTGACACTCGACTTTTGCGGGATGGCGAGGCAGGCCTTATTATATTTTATTGGGCAAGCACAGCAAACAACAGCATTGCCCGGCACCAAAAAACTTTCACAAGCCACAGTTTACCATCTTTAGTCCAAAAATTTTATTTATAATTATAAAGTCTAAATAAAAGGGAGACAAATAAAAATAAGAACAGGTACTGGGGTTTAAAACAAATATATAAAAAGGAGCTCGATGGCGCAAGTGGTTAGCGCGTTCCGCAGCGATCGTTGAATTTAAGCAACTTTCGCAGTGGTCGGTCATTGGATGGGTGACCATAATTTACTATCTCGAGCTCCTCCGTGTTTCGGAAGGCACGTTAAGCCGTTGGTCCCGGCTGCATCTGCAGTCGTTAGCACCCACCAACCCGCACTGGGCCCGCGTGGTGGGTCATGGCCCAATCTCCCTATTCCATCCATAGGGAAGCCTGTGCCCCAGCAGTGGGGACATTAATAGGCTGATGATGATATAAAAAAGTTAATAAAATAATAACTAAAAATAAGTGTGAGGTTTGAACCGACGACCGCGGTGATGCGTCGAACGTTAGTCCCATGGCAAAAACTTAGCACACTGCGCCGTTTAGATTGATATTAGACTGGCGAAAATTGTGTTCTATTGGTATATGCACTCTCGCAAGGTTTTTTCGTTACAGAATTTTTTGATTCGGTCCCCGCGTTCAAAGCCCGCGATAAAAGCTATACAATAGCTTAAAAAAAAACATACAACTTTTTGACATAAATCGTGTTGAACGCGCTTTCAACTTTTTTGTGGTAAGACCGTATAGTTCAGATTAGGCGTCGAAAGCTAGATAGCGTTACCATCGATGGCGCGTACCCACAGCTTAACGTTCCTTTCAAATAATAGATTAATATTTTTTCTCAGATCATTGGGTGACTAATGCCTGAAATGTCCTGACCAGACTGGAAACAACTTTCGCAAAGTATCCTCCCGCAGGTTTGCATTAAACGCTCATAACATGTTGAAAAAAAATGACGCCAATAGTCCATACAAAGTTGCGCAAACCCCTTTATTAAATATACTGGTAGTACCTAATTTTGTTGCTTGTTTGCTTTGTTGCTAAAGTTAACCTAAACTTTAGGTAACCAACTGTGTTTGTTTCGTGATTATTGGGTGTTTTGTTTTGTTTTTTTGGGATCATATAAATATTTTCCGTTTTTTTTAAGATACCTATTTATAAATATAGTGAGATAAGTACAAAAATAATTATGTAACGTCCACGAGAGTTAATGCCGACAAACTGTTGCACAGTTTGGCAGAATAGAAATAAGTGTTGTACTTACTTTTCATGAAAAAATTTCATATTTAAAAAATAAAAATAAAATATCTTAAAATATTTATTTTTTTATATAGAAAAACTTAATGGCAGACACTTATTCCGGTTCCTTCTATATTTTATATAATATCATAGTTTCCAAAATTTCATAAAATTTACGTTATTTTAGCAAAACTAAAAATTATTTAAGTTATTTATATTATTATTATAAACATACATTTACAAAAACAGACCCATAGGTCGGTACTGACATGCGGGCAGACCACACGATACTTTCTCAGTCGTGCTATTGAAGTTGCATGATTTTGATTTTCTCACTCTTCATTTCGCAGGCAACTAGTATTTCAGCAAAACTGCAATTTATGTAGGTATGTTTTTTACATCATTAAAAAATCAGACAGATAAGTCTAAAATGCAGGCAGACTACATAATAGTTTCGCAGTCATTCTATGGAGATTCAAAATCGATAATAAAACTAAAAAGTAAGAAATAATACGTCGTTTATGATTTGAAAGTGAGGGGGGAAGGGGGGGGGGGGGTCAAGTTTGAAACATTAAATACTCGTAGATTTTCATTTCTAATCAGTAAATACGTAATTTAATCTTAACCCCGGTCGACTTCCAAATCATATAAAGAAAAAATCAAAATCAATCTGTTCATTGAAAATTGAACTTGTGTTTATTTCATGTTCCACATGAGTAAGGAAATGTACACTGAAAATAAGGTAACTTTAGCTGCTTCGTGAACTCGTGAACATTCATTTTAACCGCGTAAAAGCACTGACTTGATTGAAATTCTTAGTGGCACCAGTAGATGGCGTTACTTGTTACTTGACTATGTTAAAGATAAAATTAATGTAATGTAATTTTATTATTCTGCATTATTGACTTACTGTTTTCATATTTTATACATACTTTAAAAATAGCTATTAAATTGGTTGGAAAAAACAAATAATTTTTAACAAGCTTTCTAATTATTTAGCAGTAGCAACACCGACAGAGAGCTTATTTTGGGTCACTCGCGTCGCTTCCAACTTGTACCTACTTCGTTTGGATTTTTGTAGAGGTGCCTTTCTCTAAACTTGCAACATAACGTAGTTATTAGTTCAGTGTTTTATATCAAGAAAGCTGGCGGGTGTGCAAATATATTAAAATCATTGTGGCAGTGATAGATTTCATGCAAACTACCTTATTTGACGTTGCTAAACAATTTAATAGTTAATGAAATAGTCAAGGTAAGAGCTTCACATTTTCTGTGTGGTATTACGAACGCGATAAGGGCTAACTTATTCCTACGAGTTTTCATCTTGAAAATTTCCACTCGTGAACTTTCAAAGTGAAGTTTCTGGGAAGTTCTTTGTTGACGAAACTTTTTCGGAGTTTGCCGTATCGAGGGAACGATGAACTTGAACCAACAACAAGTGTCTTGAAAAGTTAGCCCAGAAAATAGTGAAACTTAGAATTTTCGTCGCCATTTTATTTTTTGTCGTACTGGAAAAGCGGCCATTTTCTTTGTGCCGCGTCGCTTACGACGAGACGTATGTGGTCCGTAAAGTTAAATTAGTTAAGTTGGGGCGTGATCTCATCTCGTCATATGAAGTGATTCGGTGAGATAATTTACGCAGTCGCAGGATGACAGTGTACAACCGAATGTTTATTATGTGATCTCGTGAAGTTTCCCGCTGGCCTAGTTATTGCGTGGTGTTTATTAGTTTATAATTCATAGTGTTGATCTCGAGCTCTGATATCGCAGGGCTCCGGGCGCGGCGAGTGGCAAGCATCATGGATGACGACCAACAGTTTTGCTTGCGATGGAACAATCACCAATCTACACTGGTGTCCGTATTCGACACCCTCCTGGAGAAAGGCATTCACGTGGACTGCACCCTGGCGGCGGAAGGACAGACCCTCAAGGCACACAAAGTGGTCCTGTCAGCGTGCAGTCCGTATTTCGAGGTTGGTGTACACCTAATTCGTTCGTTCACGTAATGTAGGTCAATTGCTATCTTGTTTAAGTTACAAGGCAGCACAGTTGTGCTCTAATAAACATTCCAGTTGGTTCATTCTAGCTTTCATGCGTTAGCAATTAGTTTATATTGATGCATAGATGAGTTGGCAACTGAAAGTTGCTCTAACCACTTTCCATAATCTTTGGCAAGCACATTAATTCCTATTATGGCATTTAGTTAAAAGACAAATCATTTTATAATTTTATTAACAATTAACAACCTTGAATTTCTAGATACATAATGGTACCTAATGAATGTTATCATTATGGAAAAATGCTTACAATCTTCTAAATATAATAAATAAAACCAACATTCAATCATTGTCTGGGTAATGAACTCCCATATTTACAAACTTCACATGTAAACATGACAATTGTACAATATTGTACATCAATAATGAGCATCAACAACTTTTTCTTTCAGAGTGTACTATCTCAGCAATTTGATAAGCATCCAATAATAATACTGAAAGACGTGAAGTACGCAGAGTTAAGAGCTATGATGGACTATATGTACCGAGGGGAGGTGAACATATCGCAGGACCAGCTGGCCGCGTTACTGAAGGCAGCTGAGTCGCTGCAGATCAAAGGGTTGTCAGACAATAAGCCGTCACGGCCTCCTTCCCGCCCCGCCGCGCCCGTCGCGCCGCCCCGTCCAGCGTCGCCAGCACACCCGCCACAGGTCTGTATCAATTATTAAAAAAAAATACTTCATATAAGCAGTGGTTCTTAACCGGTGATCCCCGCAAGCAGCAGTAATCTGCAAAGGCATTAAAAAAAATTATATAAGTAAGAATGCACGAGTACTAACTCTAACAAACAATCACATACATAGGACATATTTACCCTAGGAGACAAATATAGACCATGGCCCAGGGTGACAGAAGCCAAATACATATATTTGTTACTGATCTCTATTTGATTTCATTAGGGAAATTTTGGCAAAAATGATCCTTATCACTAAAATGTTAAGAGCCACTGATCTAAGGCTACTCTAGATGATAATTATGGTTTTCCATAGCTAACTCCTAGTAATATTAAAGGGCAATAATGACAAAGAGATTCAATGTAGAATGACAGTAACAATTACATCCAAAACTGAATATTATACCTAAACTCCAGGAGTATCAATTTGACCATAAGTTTGATACCATTTTATGTTAAAATATCAGAGTGCAACTTGCACTGGGACCATAGGTTTGAAATGCAGTGATTTCTTTCTCTATCAGTTATGTTTTTGCATTGATAACATAAGTACCTATTGTTAGTTGAAATTTTATTAAAATTAAAATCCTTTACCTGAGTTTATGCATCATTCAAATATAAAGATATTGATCATTTACTACAACTATTATCTCATTCACATAGCATGAGCGGGTTAACACATTATGTTTTTGTCATGTAGAAATGAACATGTAACATAAACAAGGTTCAAATGTTCTGTCGAGCATGCATATGTATGTGATTATAAAACAAGTTTTATGAATCTTACTTGTAATACAAAAGAGGTGATTTGTTTGTAACTCAGCAAGCAAAGTAATTATGTTGAAAAGCTTATAATTTAAAACCCTTTTTGCACAAAATAATAAAAATGACAGAATTTTCCTTCAATAATACCTGAAATAACGAATTGTTATTGTAGTTTTCTATTTGTTACAGTCTGTAGGCAGTGGATGTCTTTTGTTGCTATCACATCCTGTTTTTGAGGTACTTAACAAAAACTCACATGACCTTAATTTAATTGGTATAAGTTAACACTATTGTTTTTGATAACATAGTTTATTTCGCATTCATCATCATCATCAGCCTATTAAAGTCCCCACTGCTGGGGCACTGGCCTTCCCTATGGATGCAATATTTCTCATTATTTCATTATCATTATCCCATAATCATCAAGTGCTTTTTAGTTTGTAAAGAATAAATTCAAAAAGAATTGGACCAATTTCAAAATTTATTTTCCCATTTGAAAGCTTCATTCATGCGTGTGGCATAGGCCTTATTTGACGGCGTTAAAATGAATATTGCCCGTGCGAAGCCAGAGCAGACCGCATCATCATCATCATCAACAGCCTATCCTAGTCCACTGCTGGACATAGGCCTCTCCAATTGCACACCACTCAGATCGATCTTGGCTTGAGCAGACTGCATAGTATTTAATACATCTATGAATAATTGATAGTTATTTAAGAAATTAGACGTGTGAGAAACATGGGTCATAATGGTATTCTGGTTGAGCAATGTTTAATTAACTAAACAGGTTAAATTCAGTAAGGTGCTCAATCTTTTAAGAATTTGTAACAAAGTGTAATTTGACATTTGGAAGTGATTGAAAGTGAAATCACTTACTAAATGACCTAATTAGTAATAAATGAGTAGTATTTAGTAATTGACCTAAAGGATTGGGAAATATATGCATTCAGTCATGTTATTGCATTTATAAACCGGCAGTAGGGTCAATTTATGTAAATATTTTAATAGCTTTCAAGAAATATGAAAAAAATGTAGTTTAAAAATAAAAGATTTTATTTGTATGCATAAGTAAGAAGATAAAAGAAAAGTAAAATCAATCAATTTTTTTTTTCATATAGATATCTTTATTATTTGAAATATAAATAAGATTTAAATTAGAGATGCATCGAAATTCGTTTTACATCCGGCATTACCGAAGAGCTTTTACCGAACTTCATCTTTGGTGGAATATGGTTAGATCTCCCAAATGTCAGCTGAAATTCTAAATTAAATTAAAAAGCAAGTAGTAAGTAATTAATTTAAAAAGAGTAAAGAAATATAATAAGATATTATTTAAAATTAAATCTTGATGAAATGATGATTTCTTAGCACATAGGTATAGAGTGGATGATCGTCAGTGCTTATTTTTATTGACCCTGCGAAGGAAAAAACCAAGTATTCAAATATGCTTTAAAAATATTATTAACTAGCGGCCGCCCGCGACTTCGTCCGCGTTAACTTTTAGTTTTTTTTTTCTAAAAATAAAATAAAAAACTAAAGTAAAAGTAGCGTAAGTTACTCCTTCTTACATCAACTACCTGTCAATAAAAGTCCCGTCAAAATCGGTCCAGCCATTTCAGAGATTAGCCGAAACAAACAGACAGACAGAGAAAAATTGTAACAAATGTTATTTTGGTGTATGCACTGTATATATTCATTATATGCATGTTCTAAAAAGCGGTTGCTTCATTATTACAAACATACACTCCACTTTTATTTATATGTATGTATAAATTTGTAATAATCAGCAAAGTAACATAGCATTTCTTCTTCAGTTTTGGCACATATTTAAACCGAACATTCGGTCAGAATAATGACAATTATTCTGACAATGCAGACCTGAAAAGGCAGCGAAACGTCAATAAATAATTAAAGTTGATGCATTAACCCGTTAAAACTAGTTTTATTTAAGCTTTGATTAGTTACTCCTATGTTTTGTCTCTGTTTATTGAATTACAAATGAATTACCTATTAATGTCCCCATTGCTGGGGCACAGGCCTTCCCTATGAATGAATTAGGGAGATTGGGCCATGACTCACCATGCGGGCTCAATGTGCAGATTAAATTGTGCTAACGTGGTACCAGCGACACGTGCCTTCCGAAGCAAGTAGTATCGAGATAGTAAATTTTGGTCACTCATCCAGTGACCACCTAACGATAAAGTTGCTTAACTTAACGAGCGCAGTCGAGCTCCTAATATATAGTGTGACAAGGATCTTTATGATTGTGGCGAAAATTGGAACGTACGCCGCCATCATTTACGACCATTTCGCCCATTACCTCTAGCACGAACCAATATCGAATTGGAATAGTATGCGAGACCGAAATGTCATTGTCAAATTTTGTATGGAAACTAGAACAGCAGCGCCACAAAGGACGTAACGCGAACTAGAAATCAGTACATATTTGACAATGACATTTCGGACTCTCAAACTATTCGAATTCGATAATGGTTCGTGTTAGCGGTACCGAACTGCCACTCACATCCACGAAGATTCCTGTCGCACTGTATTAATTTATCATATCGTCACTCATAGTAAACTTACGAATTTGAATTTCATAAAACCTGTAGTAGGTTTTCGTAGCCAAAACATCGTATATTAATTTGGTAAGTTTACTTTGGGTGTATATACATAAAATGCAGATTCAAACAATCAGACTTTTGGAACCGTCATTGATGAAATTGTGTGACTTTTCCCTGGTGTTAAGTACCCCATTATGTGCAGTTTTTTACTAAAAAAAGCAGATTCGTAAGTTTGCCGTAGATGTGACGATATAGTGAAACGAACAGTACCCTTAGTACGAGTTTGAGCTCACGAAAACTATCATAGTTTTCGAATTGTAAATTATGTTTCTATGTCCATTTTGGTGAAAAGTAATCAAATATACTTAAAATTTTAGAAGAGGCAAACGATTTTATGATAGAATTCAAACACTGTTTATTTGTATTGAAACGAAAACAATAAAATCAGTACCTTAAGTACGAGTGCGAGCTCACGAAAACTAAATGAGGGCTATCGTTTTTTGTCTCACCAGATGGCGCCACTGTTGAGTGAGGTCCTGAAGTGTAACTTTTAAAGTTAGTAAACACGCTCGTGATATCAAAGTTTACATTTAAATACAAAAGAATCGTATCTTAAACATAATCGCCCATGCCACAGTGTTGCGCAGTCCCGTTTTGTTCGGAAAAAAGAAGGACAATATTTTTTCTTAGCTCCGCTTTTAAATAACTGACAATCATTGACACGTAACTCAAATTTTACCATAATAAGTCTGATTTATTACCAAATATTCACAACTATTATTTTAATTAGAAAAAAACCGCGTAGTCAACCCGCAAGCTAACATTTGACATTTCGGAGACCTCACGCAACACAAGCGCCTCTAGCGGCGGTTTCAGACGCGATAGCCCTCATTGTAAAACTAGTAGTAAGGGTACTGATGGTCACCATTGTTGCGATTGTCGGTCAGGTGAGGGACGGCAGCGTGGACAGCCGCGAGGGCTCGACGAGTCCCTCCCGACGGCGCAAGCGGGCCCGCCGCTCGTCGCTGTCCCCCGCCGGCAACGGGGACTCCCCGCCAGCCCCCGCCTTACCGACGGGCCCGGCCTCCGCCCCCGCCCCCGCCCCGCCCGCGGCCCTCAAGGACGAGCCCTCGCGCGACAACGTGGAAGACCTCACGCTCGACGACGAGCCCGCAGACCACGCGCCGCACAACGACGTCGTACGCAGTCAGTAAACCACTCCTGTTGTTACTATACTAGGGCGGATCCAGGGGGATCCTGGGCTGGGTACAGGTGGACCAAACCCAGGGGGATTTTATTTAAGTACTTTCAATATTTAATATACCACGGCTATATGCCCCCCCCCCCCCCCCTCTCTTGGGGCCAAAGCTGGATCCGCCCTTGTTACTATAGTCTATTCACTTTGGCGTGAGACAAAATGTAAACGAAGAATCGGAGGTTCTAAAACTTTTATAATGTCGGAAGGTACCGACTAGTCGATGATTACGTATAAATTATGTTCCCTATAATGTATTAACAATTTTAAACTTAACAGAAAAAAATAACAACGAACTCGACAAATAAAACAAGGAAATAACAAGAATTTAGCAAATATGATAGAATATGCACGCTTGCGTCAAAAAGTTGATCGGGAGAGTGAAGATGGCTAACATAAACCGACCGATTACAAAACACAACACTTCAACGTAAAATACTTACATCATGTCTACTCTTAAATTTTGTCGTATTATAATACGGCTTAAGTTTGGGAATGATTATGTTTTTAGGTCTTTTTCCATGTCAATTTAAGTTGTTAAAATACTTTTATCAGCACAATAAAAATATATGAATTTATGATGAGTATGTATTTATGTGTATATGTAAATAAGTGTGAAATAATTTATTTTCTTATTCATATGTATGCAAATAAAATAATTAACTTAATGTTTCCCTGCATTTCCTATATAAATAGTATTTAATCTTTTCTTTTGTCAAACGTGACCTTATAAAGTATCCTTTTTATGGTTTGTTTACATTTTGTCTCGCACCAATGTGAATAGACTATAACTCTTTCGTTCGTGGTTTGTTCTTAAAGTGATAACTTCTTATGGGAGGGTAAACCGCTTCGTTACGTGGCGTGTTACGACAGATTGTCTGGCTTCCCTTCGCCGCGACCCCCTGCCCAAGTTGATAGACGCCACAAGCTCAAGTACCAGAGGAGTGTCTCCAGACCCACCCCACTCGCTCACCAACCATTCCCCTATTAGCACACATTAATCCCCACTCATCACCCACCAATCCCTTATGACGACGACCTCCGTGGTCGAGTGGTTTGTACGCCGGGTTTCATGGTGTCGCCGACTCGAGAGGTCCCGGCTTCGAATCCCGGTGGGGGCAGATGTTAGTGTGATGAACATGAGCATTTGTACTCTAGTCATGGAAGTTTAATATGTATTTCTATATAAATATACTTATCTATATATAATATATGTATTCTATCCGTTACCCTAGCATCCCATAACACAAGCCTTATAGTGCTTACTTTGGGGCTAGGCTAATTGGTGTGTGTTGGATATATTTATTTATTTAATATTTATGACCGACCAGTCTCCTGCGCTCAAAAAAAGATAATTTAAGTTATCACTTCTGTCGTACGTCCCAAGAAGCAAAGGCTTTTTTTAAATTCAATTTTTATTATTTCAATGCCACCACCTCTGTGAGACTGAGGGAAGGAGGGTGAATGCCCACACATTCAGGGTAAATAACTTCACTTGGGAAGTAAAGCATGTTGTTACTCTTTCATTTAGTCTCACCGTCTAACTGTGGACACAATTCCAACGCATATTAAGAAATTTGGTGACTCATTTCTTTGTCGCACTATCCGTAAATGGAATGTTCTGCCCGCTCACGTGTTCCCACCCTCTTACAAACTGGGATCCTTTAAGAGGCGTGAAGAAGCAACATGCAGGCCAGCAGGGTGAGGATGGCTGGTGTGGCAGGTAGAACTGCTGTATCAGCTATCTTCACGTCTGGACTTCACCTTCACTTAACAGCAGGTGGGGTGGAGTCATTGGACCTATCTATAAAAAAAAATGACAATAATAATTGAATACCACCTGTGTGAGACAGGGGGAAGGTGGATGAATGTCCCACACATTCGGGGTAGATCGTATTCCGAGTTTTGTCGCTTACGATCGAGAACCTTATGTTAGTAGTAGGAAATGACTCTGCCATACACCGAACAAAGCTCTACGTACCTTGAGCTGAGTAGATGGCACCAGGTGACGAAAGGCGAAGAACTTGTGGAATAATTTAAACTCTGTACTCACACGGACATTGTTAGTTTACGCCACCTCATTTCAAAACGTGAACTAAAGTTAAATTTCAGTCGTGTCTCTGTCTTCTCATTAACAAACTAAATATCATTCATAGTAAAATCCTTCTCTCTAAACCCTCAGGGGAAGTTAAATAGAGTATAGATTTATAAATTTAAATACCTTTGCTATCCAGGTGGATTACTAACTATGATAAACCACATTTATTGGGTCTGAAAAGGAGTTTTAAGAGCTGAGAATTAAGAGAAAATAAATATTCCAATCCTTATTCAACAATCTTTATATAATTCATTACTTACTTTTATTGTTTACTAAAAATTGACAATAGCTGTCTGATATTAAAAACCCTAGATACACCACATGCGTTCAAAATGTGTCCCAATCAAGAAGTGCTTGAGCACCACTCAAAGCACTTGTTGGTTCGCAGTCACGCGTGGACCATAGAAAACAAGGACAGATTTGCTTAAAGGCAGATAATAAAAAATATATAAACATTATTATCAATTTGTGACCTCTTTGCTTTTATAACTTAATGGTTACTTTTAACTAACATAAATAGTCGTCAACATTTTTTTCTAACACATAAGTATAAAAAAGAGTTTATTCTATTTCTGTAATAGAATATTTGGATACGCTTGGCAAAAGTTACAAAGATGAATGAATACGTCTTAAAGTAATAATATTTTCAAATAAAATTATGTTTATTGTTGAAATTATATTTTATTTTTGTCTTCTGTGTGGGTCTGGACTGCTTTCTGCCTTTATGCAATTTTTCCTGCTAATCTGGGATATTGCCCATCTGTACTTCTGCTGCCTCAGATATCCGTGAAAAAATGCGAAAAAAATGCTTGTAGCACTTAGGCCTTTACTAATAGATCGCTCTGAGATACGACGAGTATCTCCAGATCATAGTCTCAGAGAAACTGATTTCGAGACTAGAGAAATATTGGTGTAATTCAAAAGCATGGTCAGTTATACATATAGCCGTCTCTTTTCATCGCTCTCCCTACCTGCTATATTGCTTATAGCGCATTCAGAATTACACGTAGAGTCAAAGAAATAAAGTCTATATTCTTCCGCCTATAGTAACAAAATGTAAAGTTTTACGAGCTTCCATTTCGAACTATCATAACTCTTTCACGCATGCGTTTAAATTAAGACCTTATATACTATGCATTACAGGTGACTTTAAATGATTGAAAATGCCTTATAGACTACGCTATCATCTTGCGTAGCTCCGTGGATCGTCCAATGTACCTTTTGGACAGGTTTCGGCCACGAAGTTGTTCGTATTGTTGTATCTATGGTACTTACACCGTTGGTCTGATACTACAGTTTTAAAAGCTTGCTATGTTAACATTATGATTTTCTGTTTTTTGTCCTTTGAAATAAGATTTTGCTTTTATCTAGGCCAGTTTGCTGTCATCTTTGCAGGGTTTTAATTCTGCTTAACCTACTACTACATAAAATGTCTCAGTAGTTTTATTAATTATATAAAATTTTATTTTTCGACACAGTTCTGTTTTTTTAAACATAAACCGCCTTATCACAAAACGTAGACTAAAGTTAAGCCTGAACGAAAACGGATGCTCACTTTTGTTTGCTAAAAAGATGGCAGACAACATTAGGTTTAGACCAAGACTAACTTTAGTCCTCGTTTTGGAATAAGGCAGTTAGTAACCAATACATAGAGTTAACAATAACAAAGGAGAATTCAATATATTGGTAATTTTGAGTTTAACGGGCCTGCGCTGCGTGAGGCTCTGTTCTCCCGCTTACGACAGTGCAGGCTCTAAATAACAATAATAGGGTTAGCATCTGTATTAAGAATGAATATTGGCAGGAGTTTTTACTATTTTTACAGAAAAAAAATATTCATAATTTTACTAAAAACCATATAATAAGATAATAGTTTTTCATGTCTATTGTCACGTGACCCAAAACGCTTGGGATTGGTGCAGCCTAAAATGACATCACACGCAAGTCAACTTCCGGTTAAAGTGACATTTGATTGTATGGTTTGACGTTTAAATGACAGTCGTGTGACGTCACACACCAGTGAGATTGTCGTCAATATGACGTCACGCCATATTGTCCAGAGATACGTTTTTCGCGGCAACTTGAAGATAGAGTTTTTGATTTGGGTTTTTTACCGAAATACACAACATAATGATGAATATCCACTTTTTATGGACTCTATAAACATTAGTAAATAACGTGAGATCGTTTTCTAAAACTTGTCAAAAACCATATTCCGCCAAAAATCAAAGCTATTGAAACGCCATTGATACACGATTATTGTTTTAACTTAGCAGATTTGACATCCAGTCATCATTCCTGCATTCAACTCGCCTACCACTCATAACAGTTTCCCATGCTTAACTGATAGAAAACCTCTTGCGCCGCCGCCAGCTGCAAACTTTCGTTGCGTCAGTAAAAACATTTTCAACCGTACAGGTATTGCAACAAGGTCTTTTAAAGAGAAACTTTTATAACATCGCTACGATTTCATTCGTTCCTATTAAGTTATCGCATTACATTTAAAATTTTCATTGAAAATTCTGACCTTATCGACAAACATCGTTGATTCAGTGGTAGAAAGCTCGCCTCTTAAGCCGGCCCGGATTCAAATCCCAGCCGAGGGAGATTTTTAATAGAGCCTTCAATACTATGGCGTATTTTTCTACGCGTTTAAGCTCGACCTGGCATAAAAATATACCCATTGTATTTTGCGCTCCATAAAATCGGAGTCGCGCACACATTTTTTACTGTGTGTTTTCTCTTGCTTAAAAGAATAAGTTGAAGCGTATTGTTGAACTTTTTTTGTGTTACCTAATGAATGAGAACTGACCTATGATGGCAGTAAGGTGGCATAGTGATAACTGACCACCACGCTGGCCTAGAGTCGATTGGTGGGTGCCAATGAATACAGATGCAGCCAAAACTAACGGCTTAACGTTCCTTCCTAAATACGGGCTAAGAAAATAAAATAAATAAATAAATATTTCCGACACTCACACCAATTAGCCTAGGCCCAAAAAGTAGGTAAGCACTGTAAGGCTTGTGTTATGGGATGCTAGGGTAACGGATAGAATACATGTACTGTACTGTATACACATTAAACATCCATGACTGGAGTACAAATGCTCGTATTCATCACACAAACATTGCCCCCACCGGGATTCGAACCCGGGACCTCTCGAGTCGGCGACACCATGAAACCCTGCGTACAAACCACTCGGCCAAAAAAACTGAAGAAAGGAGGAACAAAAGCTATATTTTTGATGTGAAACATCTTTCCTCTCGCTTTCCTGCAATTTGTGGGAGTGATTTCCTGAAATGGGACGGAATTGTGTAACAGGAAGTCGCGAAAGCGCGCGCTAATTGATTTGATTTTAGAACATAATGTTCAAATGTCTTATTCCTTTTGTAGTAGGTTTTATTTCTTCTTTTACTAATATAAGGTGAGGTTTCAAATGTTACACATCAGACGCGACTACTGTAAGTTCACAAAAATATTAATCTCGTTTTTTTTATTAAACAGCGCTATAGAGCTATATATTATGTAGGTTTCAAACGTTACAATACCTCAACAAAGTTATTGCCTATAGAGTACTTGTTTCAAGGTAACACGCTTGTATAGCGTGAGTACCTCAACAGTATACTAAGTTCATACTGTGTATGTACTTTGTTTCCATATTACTCGAGCATGTTCATTTAAAAAAAATATAAATTATTTATTCACTATCGGGCGCTCGTGACTTCTTCCGCATTTTTACGGGATAAAAAGTATCCCTATGTGTCGTTCCAGTCCCCGTAGCATGAGCACCCCGATTTACATTATATCATGTATTTTATCGCGTCTGTCAAACTCCATAGTAATTTGACAGTTGGGCGTGATAAAAACGCGACATATATCCTATCCTATATCCTAATCCAATTAGTAATTTTTACGTGAAAGCGTAACAGACAAACTCACTTTTACAATAATAGGTTAGGATTTATACTAATGGCCAAAATTAGATCTTTTTCTCCTGCCAAAATGTATACGTGTATTTGTTACTTTACACACAATGTTTATACTTCCTGTAAGAGGGGTAGAGCAAAGCGAATTCTCTGCTCGGATTGGAGCGCCCGTCTTGGGAGGTAACCTCCACCTTACAGAAGACCACAATAAAATAACACTACATTTTGGTGGCGTTGTATTTCTGTCGGTGAGTTAGGTTCCAGGGCTCCGGAGTCTCCAGGTCACGAAGTAGAACCCTAGCGCAGTCCCCCTGAGCCGCGTCGCCCGGTCCACTCGTTGGGCCGGGCCTGCCCGGGGGCGTGCTCGGAGATGTGGCGCACGCAGGTGCGTCGGCCCCGAGACGCCCCCATATGGGCGTAGAGGGTACCGGGGGGTTTTAGTGGAGTAGGATCAGTGTGGCCTTCCGCACTGGTCCTGCTTGAGTAGGGTCGGCACTGTTTCCCGTGCCGGCGAGTCCCACACACGCCGTGCGCCTAGTCAGCGTCACGGTATGGTGCGTAACTGCATTTCCCCTCGTCACAAAAAAAAAAAAAAAAGGTCACGAAGTAGAGGATTGGGTCAGGCAGGGTAGGCAACGGCGCGAGCACTATTTTGGCCTCTAATTTAGCCGACCCGCTCAGGAGGCTAACTCTTATTCAACGAAAAATGAAATTTCGATCGAATCTTCGCACTTTTCGTACTATGTTTCTGGTTCGTTTATAATTATAATAATATTCGCCGTCGGAATATAGATTGAGGTGTACATTTTCTAAGCCTACTCAAAGAAAGGTTCAATTTGATAGTTTATCGTTCAAATTAAACTTAAATTGACGAATTTAAATTTCGTTTGAACTTCGTTATCGAAAGTTTGTTTCGGAGAAACAGAGTAGACCTCCTGGTTCGAGTGGTCTAGAGACTCCAGACGGCGAAGAGACTCTCCCCGTGGGGAGATGTCATCCGCCTGGAATACCTCTAGAGGCACTCGCCAATTCTCGGTTTGAGGTCCCCTTAGGATCTCGCCGTCCCCATCCCGGTGACTCTGTAAAGGTCATCTGCGACCAACAGCATACACACTCAAAAATAAAATCATCTTGGTATCGCCGTCTACAGGCTATGGTGTTTCACTTCACTCACTACTTATCAGTAGGGTCATGTCCCTGTTTGTCATCCTTTTAACTTTTTTTGTAAAAAGTATTTAATTTTTGGAATGTTTTATAAAGTGTTGTCCTTTTTTTTTATTTAGTTATTTATATCACATTGCTCATGTACATTATTAAGGGTGAAGCCAAACGAGCGTAATTTTGTGAGTTGTGAGTCGCTTATTTTCGGTCACTTATTTTACGTTCAACTGAATTTCTGTTGAGCTGCCATACGAACGTAATTTATTCAGTTACTATTGAGCGTTAGTACGGGGTGTTCGTGTCGTCGAGTGCAATGGATCCATTAAAAATATTGAAGCATATTCAGAAGATGAGGCCAGAAAAAGAAACTGGGTAAACCCACTGAATAGTCAGAGACTGATATGTGGACAGTTCCATACTTTATATGAACGTTTCTGTGCAAATCCAGATATGTTTGAAAAGTACTATCATATGCCATTACGTGTTTTTCAAGAATTATTACACCACGCAACTTGTAACAAACTGTTGCTTCCCCACTCCCCTTCATTGCCCTACCCTCACCCCGACCGAAATTCGGACGAGCTTATGCGCATTGAGTCGGCAGACAACTCATTTTGCGTTGTCGTGTGGCACCAACTGCCTTTTTGTATGAAATCGAATGCAGCAGAATTTCTGCGACCGAAATTCTGCGACTCACCACTCACAAAATTACGCTCGTTTGGCCTCACCCTTATTATAAGGTCTTACATACTTAATAGTTAGTGGTACATGACCCCGTTGGGGTGTTGCAACAAACTTGAGCTTAACATTAAATACATTAATTTCACTTAATTGTTGATCATATTAAATCACAAGAGGTCCAACCAAATTTAAACAAAATCAATCCATTTTAAAAATTAATCAAGTCAATTTATATCATATCATGTCATCATAATCATAGCATATCATCATAGTCAAATCAAAATCATATCTTATCAAGTTAAATCAAATCAAATTTATAGGTCAAACATAATTAAGTTAACTAAATCAAATAAACAGGTCAAGCATAATTAAGTTAAATTAAATGAAATTTATTTTTCATTCATAAATTCATCAACAGAATAATACGCTGTTTTCATAAGATGCTGTTTCAATTTATTCTTAAATATGTTTATATTTTGTCCACCTTTGTGTTCTTTGTACTGTATGAACTCCGTATAGCGGAGAAGGCAGCTTACTATGAATTCTAAACTTCTGTGTGTAAATTTGACACACTAAACATCACTTTAGAAACATTGTACTAAGTTATAGAATTAGAGCATTAAAGTCACGTTTAGTATGAGATTCAATCAGAGACGTCAATTAAATTTAATGCTGACGAAGTGACGTTTGATCTTATTCTATTTATTTTACAGCATAGAGACAGCACCAACTTTAACCGATCTCAAAAATTAATTGACATCTTTGAGTGCGGCCGTTAATCATTTTAGAAACTGTAGTTTAGTTTATAGCTATTAACGGGATTGTTGCCATGTACCTTGTTTTTTATGAGTCTCCGATACTTCTGCAGTTTAACAGTGCCGTATAATAATATCTCGGAGGAGCTCGATGGCGCAAGTGGTTAGCGCGTTCGGCTGCGGTCGTTGAAGTTAAGCCACTTTCGCAGTGGTCGGTCATTGGATGGGTGACCAAAAATTTACTATCTCGAGCTCCTCCGTGCTTCAGAAGGCACGTTAAGCCGTTGGTCCCGGCTGCATCTGCAGTCGTTAGCACCCACCAATCCGCACTGGGCCCGCGTGGTGAGTCATGGCCCAATCTCCCTATTCCATTCATAGGGAAGGCCTGTGCCCCAGCAGTGGGGACATTAATAGGCTGATGATGATGATGATAATAATATCGGTGCATGGTGACAATCCCGTTAATAATAAACATTAATGTTAGTGACCATGAAAGTTTAAAACAAATATGTAGTTTAGTTTGTTAGAGACAGTTTTAGTAGCAATGCGTTCTTTTGCAGATTTTCAATGGCACATGGAAAGATCTCAAGATGAAATCATGAACTCGAACGACAGCGCCAGAGACTCGCAAGGTAAGCGCACACTTATACCGGCCGCGATGCTCATACAAACATCTTGTGTTGTTCGCTGCACCATCATCCGACAACCCAAGGTGTTCAATGGGACCCAACTTTGAATCTAGAACAATAAACTTTTTTTTATAAAAAATGTGAACTAATAGAACCTTTTCAGTAAAAAAAGTAAAATTAAAAAAAAAAACAAAAAAAAAAGATTATTGTTCTAGGACATACAAGGAACGGATGAAATGCGCAATGTCTTCCCATAATTTGAACTATAGAACAGTCATTGCTTAAAATAATCTATTTATCTTGTTATATATAAATATTATATTTCACAACAGCGGATACAAGAGTGCTAGTGTTTTCACATGTGAAACTTAAACCTTATAATAAATAATATCTAATATTATTATAAACTACTAATCTTACAATATTTTTTTGTACCACTTTTGAACTTTCATGATTATTTCAGTGCAACAGGTAAAGGTTTTGGTAAATTGGGTTTTGCATTTCTGTAGCCTTTTTCCTTGTGAAAAAGGTGAGGTAATTGTTTAAAAAGGTAAGTGCGTTTAAGATTACTATTAAATTAACAGTAGTGAACATTTGTACGTGTACAATTTGGCTTAATGTTTGTGTTATGGGGTCTAGACATATGTAGTTCATGCATGCTTGTTAGTTACACTAGTAAGTTGAACTGGTAAAATAATCGAAAAAACAAAGTGCTAATAATATGTTATGTTCTAACACTCGAGTGGAATGGCTTGCACTTACGGTGGTAAGTAAGATTTTAACATTATAATATTCATTTGTATACATTTAATTTAATATTTATATCTTAACATTATGTAGAGGTAGAAACACATTTTATATGCACAAAACCTCACCTCCCAATTTTGATTCTTAAATATCTATGAGAAATCTTCCGGCTAAGTAAACGCTAAATATCGCGGGTAAAATAGCACAGTTCATGTGTGATTTTTCATAAATGTTTGTTTTATAGAAGATTTTTGGATTGTGATTACGCACTGCGGCGGGCGATCAAAGGTAAATAGAAATTTTCATTTTCTTTTATTATTACTAATAAACCTAGTTTGTCGGTTATATGGCTTATTTATCTATTATTTATTATTTCCTTTTTTATTTGCATTGTTCACATGTGATTTCACGGCAGATGTCTTTCCTTAGGAATTCATTTTTACATTTTCAACAAACATGCATGTAACTAGGCATTTTGCAACTGTCTAGATTATTGGAAGCATGAAACGAGTCACTGCCCATGCGCATTTCATTTATCGACGCAGGATTATTATTAAACCTTAAATTAGGACGAAACAAACAATGAACTTATTATTAAAATAAAGTAATTTCAAGGTAGGCAAAAAGGTATTTACAACGGCGTCCCTCTGAATCCTCCAATCAGCATGGTCACTGCAATAATATATGTTTACCGCAATCCATTTCATAAACTGAATAATAATGGTACCCACACCGTAACCTTGTACAGTTACCGAACGTCTAAACGCTATTGCCACGCTTCATTTGTCTTCTCTTGTAACTAATACGCAGTTTCGTTTCATTTATCCTTGTCACTAATGCTTTATATGTATTTTATTGTCGCTTTTCACTGTTTTCCCCTTCCAGAACCATCCATAGATCTATTAAGCACCATGATTTACGCAAAAACTCCTTTTCCACTAACCCGGGGATTCTTCAAATGCGAAAGTGGCACGCACGGCGCCACTGAGACCCCCGCGCCCGAGCGTAGAGCCAGAAGAGCGGTCAGAAAGGTGCTGAAAAAGAAAATCGTAAGAGGCACTAAGAAATTGAAAAGGAAACGCGAGCTAGGAGTGACCGGCGGTTGCCACAAACCGTCCGGCGATCACGAGAAAAGATACATTTGTTCCATATGCAAGAAAAAACATTATAAATACAGAAGAAACAAATTGCGTCACGAAAAGTATGAGTGCGTCACCGGCCCACAGTTCGTGTGCGAGAAGTGCGGTAAACGGTACTCGCAGAAAAAAACACTCACCTCGCACATCGCACTCAAACACCCCAACTGGGGGAAAGATAAAGATAAGCCTAGCCAGAAAAACCAAATCGATGAGCCCAAGGGGAAATGAAATGTTTTCATTTCAAATTATTTTTCTCATTTGTTTTTATATACTCGTTGAAGTTTTTACAAAGATTTTTTCCTTTTATATTTAGATTAGTTGTTAATAGACTGAAATTATGTACTTGAATAGATCACGTTTTGCCTTTATAGTTAGTTATGTAGTTGTATAAATTTATCTACGCGTTGCTTTCCTTTACTTTTTCTAGTGTTACATTTAAAGTTTGTCCAACTATGACTTGGCGATTTAGATCTCATTACCGATGCCAAATCAAGCCTTACTCGATATAGTTGATTGATATACCAGTCGTAGCTAAAGACTATTCTTATATTAGACTAGCCTTTTATTTGTTTTATGTAGTTGTATAAATTTATCTACGCGTTGCTTTCCTTTACTTTTTCTAGTGTTACATTCAAAGTTTGTCCAACTATGACTTGGCGATTTAGATCTCATTACCGATGCCAAATCAAGCCTTACTCGATATAGTTGATTGATATACCAGTCGTAGCTAAAGACTATTCTTATATTAGACTAGCCTTTTATTTGTTTTATGTAGTTGTATAAATTTATCTACGCGTTGCTTTCCTTTACTTTTTGTAGTGTTACATTCAAAATTTGTCCAACTGTGAGTTGGCGATTTAGATCTCATTACCGGTGCCAAATCAAGCCTTACTTTCTATAGTTGATTGATATACCAGTCGTAACTAAAGACTATTCTTATATTAGACTAGCCTTTTATTTGTTGTTTAGAAAGTTGATAAAAGACTGAAATTATGTACTTAAAAGTTCACATTTCGCCTTTATAGTTATGTAGTTGTATAAAATTATCTACGCGTTGCTTTCCTTTACTTTTTCTAGTGTTACATTCAAAGTTTGTCCAACTATAAGTTTGCGATTTAGATCTCATTACCGAAGCCAAATCAAGCCTTACTCGCTATAGTTGATTGATATACCAGTCGTAGCTAAAGACTATTCTTATATTAGACTAGCCTTTTATTTGTTGTTTAGAAAGTTGATAAAAGACTGAAATTATGTACTTAAAAGTTCACATTTCGCCTTTATAGTTATGTAGTTGTATAAAATTATCTGCGCGTTGTTTTCGTTTAGGTACTTTTTGTAGTGTTACGTTCAAGCTTTTGTTGAACTGTGAGTTGAGCATTTAGATCTCATTACCGGTGCCAAATCAAGCCTTAATTTTTATAGTTGATTGAAAAACCAGTCGTAGCTAAAGACTATTCTTATATTAGACTAGCCTTTTATTTGTTGTTTAGAAAGTTGATAAAAGACTGAAATTATGTACTTAAAAGTTCACATTTCGCCTTTATAGTTATGTAGTTGTATAAAATCATCTGCGCGTTGTTTTCGTTTAGGTACTTTTTGTAGTGTTACGTTCAAGCTTTTGTTGAACTGTGAGTTGAGCATTTTGATCTCATTACCGGTGCCAAATCAAGGCTTACTTGCTATGTTGATTGATATATCAGTAGTCACTATCGTTATTTTTTCCTTTTGTTTATTGTTGATTAGTTTCGTATTAGATTTTTTATTTACATTATCTATCATATGAAGTAGTTAGGCGGAGTCACAAGCCATGTTTTTTTTTTCATTTTGTTGTTTAAATTTTGTTTTCTTTGAATATACTTTATTTTGATATTATTATTGGTTTTTATTTTGAGTTTCTATCGAATCACATGTGAAATCATAACATCTTTTCATTAAATTATCATGACGTAACTAAAAACAAACATTAGTATTCTGAATGGTTTTATTATACTATAAAACATTCACAATACGAACTGTCCGCGATATTATTTTAAATTATTTATTTGATTTCTTTCCGTTTCGCTTTTAAGTGCACTGTACTAAATTTTCCATTTCAGGTCCTAAAAGATCGCTGCGTAATAAAATCTCGACGCTAACACAGGAGGTAATCGACGAGCCGCCGTCAAAGACTTACGCCATCTTAAAGAACATGAAACCGAAAGACCCCGCGCAAGAGGAGGCGAAGGAGAACGCCAAACAGCAAACGGAAACTAAAAAATCCCCCGAGTCTGACGACAAAAGTGATTCTAAATACAACATATTCCCCAATGATAAGACAGGATTCGCCTTGACCAAGAATAAGACTGAGAAAGGGTACAAGTGCCCCAATTGCTCGCGCTGCTACAACGCGCGCCGCAACCTGGTGCGTCACGTGACCCTCGAGTGCGGTCGCGAGCCCCAGTACAAGTGCCCCTACTGCAGCTGCAGCAAACATCGCCGCAACGAACTCAAGAACCACATCAACAAGAAACACCCCAACCAACCCAAAAAGTGATGCGTGAGAAACTATTACATGAGTGCTTTACTAATTAGTGCCTTATAACCACTCGGATCTTCCTTTTTAGATGGTATTGAAATTCTTAAATTTTATATGATTGTACACTTAGGTATTAACGTTAACTCATTGATATTCAATATTTTTAATTAATAAACTACTTTATGAAAAAGATACCGATGGCAGTTTTTCATTTCGCACGGCGCGACGTCACGAGCCCGACCCGTTTCCTAAACTTATGGGAAGATAAGTCAGAGAGTTCGATTACTTGGATTGTGCATGTCTGCATGAATTTTAGAAGCTTTGCCTTATAATTCCTAACAAGAGATTATTTTTTTATATTTTTTTTATTATTATTATTATTGTAACGCATTTCTTTGGTTCCTTAATTTTATTTTAGCCTTCGGTAGTATTAACAGACAGACTCCATAAGTAGTTCCGCTTAACTTATTATTTGCAATACCTCCGATGTGTTGTATTCCAGAGTCGCACAAGGATAGCCACCTCCCGACGGCACTGTTGTCGCTCCTGTCGGTGCAGCACCAGACGCAGTCGCTGGCCGCCCTGGTGCCGCCCTGCATCCAGGTCACCAACGTCATGAAGCCCAAGGAGCTGGCCTTCCCCGCGCCCTTGCTGTCCGACAATATCAAGGCGCATCTGCTTCAGCACGCCTTCCTACAGAACAACAACACCGTCTCCCCGCCCAGCGACTACAGACCGACTAAATCGGAGGAGGCGGACAGCGACGCCGAGTACGACGACACCGACGACATAGTGCTGCCCGAGGAGGCCGACCCGTACTACGAGTTCCAAGTCGCAGGCGGCGATTCGTTCGACAACAAGCCGAAGCAGGCGTACGTGAAACGCGAGGGCGAAGACCCGAGTCGCCAGTTCGAGTGCCGGCACTGCGGCAAGAAGTACCGCTGGAAGTCGACGCTGCGCCGCCACGAGAACGTGGAGTGCGGGGGCAAGGCGCCTGCGCACCAGTGCCCCTACTGCTCCTACCGGGCCAAGCAGCGGGGCAACCTCGGCGTCCACATCCGCAAGCACCACAACGCAGAGTGGCTGCTCTACGCCACCAACAAGGTGCGCCGCACTAAGAAAACCACCATATAGACGTAGCATACCTGTACATACATGCGACCAACACCAAAGTAGATACCCAACCAAATCGGTCCTGCAATAATTTCTATTTATAGTTTACTTTTATTTTTGTTTGTTGAAATCTTTTTATTTTTAATATTTTTACTTATTATAGATGTAATGTGCACATTCCCTAAGCGGCGCACGCGCCGATCTTGTTGATTTTTGTTTTAGAGTTTATCGTTGTAGTTAAGACTGACCCCCTGAGTATTTTATTCGGAGAAATATGGATGGACCCTAGGTCGAATATTTTAGGACACTTCACCCGCGAACGCGTAGATCGATCGTTTCGGTCCTAATAGAATAATTCTGATGTGAACTGTAGACGAAAACGACTTATTATACATTTTCATGAAGCGTGTACCAAATTATATTAATGTTATTTATGAATAGATACGTTTTATTGTAACTATCTCGAATTTTGTTTAGTTGTAATGACATATCATTCCTTGAATGGATCATATTCCAAATTGTTATATTTAGTGCAATGATATTAAGACATAGTTGATATTCCTTTATCTAATATATTATTATATGCCCCCTCTTGACGAGGGTTGATGATGTTATTACTATATTTAATATTCTGTCACGGGTAGAGAATTCATTATATTAATAATTAATTAGGTCCTTGTTTTTCTGCTGTCTTTCTTGATTGTTTATTTAGATTTAATCGGTTAAGTTATTGTTTACTACATAATTTATTAATATTTTTCTTGTTTTTTTTTCTCGTTTCTTAGTTAAAAAAAGTGAGGGACCATTTTCCTTGTCTTCCTGACAATTTATAGCAAATCCAAAGTTTATTTTTTTCAAGTTGCTAATTAGTATAATGTTAAGGGACTACCGTTCCGCCATGGCGCCGCGACTCTGTGTAATACCAAACTTGTGTAAATCGACTTTGATGTGTTACAAAGAGTCGGGTGCCATTTATTTTAGGTAAATCATAAAAGCTCATTATGTGCCTACAATGTTACCTGTAGATGTATTTATTGCGTGTTAGAAATATTATGATAATGTTGATTGGTTTATATATAGAAGAAAAAACTGGGATAAAAATAAATGTGTTCAAAATTTTCAAAGATGTTAACTCGATATTTACTGATATTTAATAGCAATATTCCAAGTTTCGATTAGCATATTGACGCTGTTGATATTTTTTTTGTTAAACTAGGTTAACAATGCTATTTGACCAAAGTCAGTATTAGTTTATTAGCGTGACGGTGACACGAGCGTCACTCGGCATTCGAGTCATTGCGAAGCATATATGAATATGTTTTGATATGCAATATTCCCATCATATCATGTTATACGGTATATGGTACTGATGTATGAATTAAGGTGAACATTTTGATGTTATGTCGTTTACATTGTTTGTTAATGTTATTGAAAAATTTACCTGTCAAATTATGTAGTGTGATTTTTATATGAATATATCGGGGTTTACTTGGTAGAAAAGTTTAATCAAAATATAGCTATTAGTATAATAAACTTGCGGCTTTTTATTATTCCCCCTTCCCCCCTAATGTTTCCCATCCTTTATTTAAAGTTGTTATTATTTCGTGCCTATTAGGTGAGTCTTGGTTTCGTTAAGTAGATATGGTTTTTGACTGTTAACAGTGCATGTGTGCATGAATTGCGTTTGTACTCTTAAAAACCCCCACACACAGCTCTCATTTTCAACTTGCGCATGTCGCGGCGATATGATTTCCCTTTTCTTTTTCGTTCATACTAATAAAGTTAATAATTTCAGGTAGACAAGAAAACCCATGGGTCGGGAGACTACATATTAACAAACGTTTGTTAAATGTCCAAAGCGGTGACTAAAACTTATTGGCATTGTCGATACAAAAAACAAACACTACCTAATCTTCCTCAAATAAGAGTTTCAAAACAGTCCATAATTGTTACACATTGTTAATAGAGTTCACCCGGTCTAAAAAAAGGACAACGTGATCGTGAAATCGTGACTAAATAAATGTTTATATTCCTTTTTGTTCTTTTGTTTTACTTTTTCCTTGCAAAGCTTTCATCACAGCACTCGGTGAATATTCACAGTAGTTATTATATATTATTACGTATCATATATCTCTATGTATCCGTATGTACGTTCGTATAATATCTATTCTAATATATATATATATATATATATCTATCTATGTGTATGTATATATAGTAAGTACTGATACGTTATGTATGTGTAACATGTATCGCTTGTACGTAACCGTATCGTCGTTTAGATAACTCGCGGGGGTGTGTCGCGTGTGGATGATTTGATGTGGTCTGTCGGGGTTTCAGGGGCAGGTTGCGCGCCCGAGGACGTGTCTTTCACTAGGATCGGGGGGCTCTCGTGGGAGCAGTGGTCGGCGCGCCTGGCGCTCCCGCTGGTGGCGGGGCTCCGCGCGCCCCCGCCCCCGGGGCCCGGCGAGCCCGCCTTCACCTGCCCCGACTGCGGCCGCGTCTACAAGCTCAAGTCCTCGCTGCGCAACCACCAGAAGTGGGAGTGCGGCAAGGAGCCCCAGTTCCAGTGCCCCTACTGCGTCTACCGCGCCAAGCAGAAGATGCATATCGCTCGCCACATGGAGCGAATGCACCGCGAGGTCCACATGAAACCGGAGCAGTACATCAAGCAGGACAACGTCGACGCGTGCACATAGTCTCAGGCGTGCCGTGAGCTTTAGTCACTTTTTAAATACTCTGTTATTTTTAAGAACGATACCTTATTAGGTATGCGCGGTGCCTAGTGCGGGATTTTGATAGTTTTCGTAGCGTACGGTGGGTGAGTTTTGGTTAAATACAGGGTGTTACAAAAATACAAATAAAGCTTGAAGGGTGTCGAAGTACACCATATAAGGAGTCTTCTCTAATTTTCTTAAAATATTTGCATGAAATTTTAACTTTTTATAAAAACAGTTATTATTAATGATTAATAAAAATATCGATCATTTCAAGACACGTCACTAGTGCGAGGATCATTAAAAATAACTGTTTTTATAAAAAGTTAAAACTTCATGCAAATATTTTAAGAAAATTAGAGAAGACTCCTTATATGGTGTACTTCAACACCCTTCAAGCTTTATTTGTATTTTTGTACACCCTGTATATTCGAAAGTAGCGAGACTGCCGTACGCTTAAAAGGGAACGTCTAAAAAACTCACACTAGACACTCCAGTGTTTTATAATTATTCGAATTCGAAACGACGACAATATTTTTTGTAGAGATCAATGTTAAATATTTTAATGTTTCTCGTTATACTACTTTGGAAAATCGTTTGAGAGAATAGATAGGTATACATTTTTAGAGATGTTTTTTTTTGTAAAATTAAAATACGATTCCCGAGTTTATTCCGATTGTGATAAATGTGATGAAATCTCTTATGTGATAGTGGCATCGGACAGTCACGTTAGATGTTAATTGCCTTCGCCGAGGTCACGCATAGTGCCTTCGTTTGTTACCTACTCAGTTCTTTAATATTTAATATACACCCAGAAGTGAACAATTAGAGATATTTTGAATTTTAATCTCTTGACGAATTTCAACTAGTATTTTGTCATACGAGTTGCGTTGCGATTGTCACAGTGTATGCGACCGTTGCATTTATCGAGTATGTTAAGTGAAAAGTGATTTTACAAAGTTACGCTGTTATTATATATATTTTTATGTACAGCATTTATTGTGAACTATCATTCCTGGTTTATATGTAAGGTTTGAGATTTTTAAAGTACAATTTTGTTTCGGTTAAGATTGTTACCAGTTGCAGTTACTACCTGCTGAAATATATCGTGCACATTGTTTTATGATTCGAATAGTCTCATTCACACCTAGGGTTGCCAGGTGGCCGGGATTTCCGGGATTGTCCCGGAATTTTACGAGTTGTCCCGTGTCCAGTAATTTGACTTATTGTCCCGGATTCTGATAACGTGGTAGTCTCGTAATAAAATAAACTAATAACGAATGACACCTGCTTGATGTTTTAATTCTGGATGGGTTCATTTTATGCTTTATTTTTTTAAGAGGGGGGGGGGGGTTGCAAATGTCCCGGAATTGATAAGCCAGCATCTGGCAAACACCTGCTTGATGTTTTAAGTCTGGGGGGGTGATGGGGGGTTTGATTTGATGATTTATTTTTTAGGGGGAGGGGTGCATATTTCCCGGTATTGATAAGCCAGCATCTGGCAACCCTTTTCACACCATTTGTAGATTAGGCTCTTATCGTGGTTAAAGAACCACTTTGAAACGTCATATCATAGTAATCGTTCGTAAATTATCATTTAAATTATGTTCGTACTCATTTGGGTATAATTATATAGAAATATCTTTAAAACAAACTCGTGTTTTAAGTTATATTTTGTATATTAATAGTTATAGTTGCAAATGATGCTATTTTTCGCTTAGGTAGCAAGCTCTAGTTCTTTGCCATAATGCATGTTCCCTTATATAATTGTAATACTCATGTAAGTTAATTTTTATTCGGTTATTTTTAGATCTCTTTACGTCTTATGCATTTATTTTAACCTTTACAATAGAATTATAACTTTATCCAAGATTAATGTGTGGAAGCATTGTTCCTTGTGGAGAGTGTCTCACTGTATTCAGTGCAAAGAGGCCCAGTAATGTTTGATATGACGACTGATGCTAACCAAGTGCCTAAATATTTTTATTAATCGTCAAAACCACAAAAGACACTGCCATTGTCTTAACTATAATAGCGACTATAATTCATGCACAATCGTACTATTTTTTGTGAGGTTCCAGTTTCTCTTCCAGATAGATAGTTTTTAAGTATTTTATACACATTACCATTTAGAAATTATAAGTTAGGGTTGATTTGCGTCACGTAAAATCACACCGCTGCTCTTCCAACAAGCTCGCAAACTTTCGTCTTTCCGTCTTACAATCTTTTTATGTCATTTCCAATTATGGAACGCGACAGCGGTGTGATTTTCCTGATCCTTCACCGAATTAGTGTTATTTAATCCGCTCGAGTTACCATCATGCAATCAAAATGTAAAGCTCACAAAGTACAACCAATTAAGTCAGTATAAAAACTAAGTGCCTTCAAAACTTTAGTCATTAGATGTTAAAATGTTCCCGATTTGTCGAATAATTGGTTGAAACGTACACCATGTTAAGAAATCATTGCAAAATTTCTAGGTTGTGATTTTTATCAACAGTAATGAGTTACCTGCTGGCAGAAAACTGCAGTTTGATACAATCGCTCCATTCATGACAAACACTGTGATGGATTTATTTTTCCTTTTCAGTACGTGTACATTAAAATTGTTGTCAAAATAGGTATCTGCTGTGATAGAGCTTCCATGAACAGTGGCTTCTTACAATTTTGGCAATAGGCATGATGACGATGAAACTTCTTTTGGGAAGGCTTATAAAAGGAAAAATTCTGTGAAAAGGTGAAAAGGAAATGTACACACGACTATATATGTGTGTGTGTGTGTGTGTGTGGGTGGGTGGGATGCGCGCTCAGCTCTTCCCGACGAGCATATAAGTTGGAGGGTAACTCGGCGAAGGCTGAAACGAGCGTCTCACGCGACGCCCTATTCCTTAATGTTTGGTCATTTAAGAAAAGAATTTTCACTTCAGATGTGTGGTCCGTGCGCACAATTTTTTCTTCGTCGTCTACCAGGCAGTTTATTAAAAAGTATTGGACACGTATTTATTTCTTAATTCATTTAATGTAAACATTACAAAGATGTTGATTTAAGTATCGCATGACGTCACGTCTTGGTACAATTTTTATTGTACTTTGATTGACAAAAGAAAAAAGTCGTATCCATTATTTTTTGGTAATCAAACTGGTGGACGTAATAGAATTTTGTTTTCTTCACCCCGTCATCATCCCTATTGTCGGATACCACCAGTAAAATAATACCGAAACAGTATATTTTTTACGTTAATGACCTTCCAAGTGATGTTTTAAACAAATCTAGTTATAAGTAAGAATTGCTGCCTAGAATATTTGTGGTTACTGTAGATATATTTCTTATTTGCCTGTAGGTCGAAGTTACAGTGATTAAATGCATTTGATTGTATTTTTATAACCTCTTTGTATTTTAATAAAGTTGCTATTCTTGATATAAATTTGTTTTCATGTTAAACTTCTACCAAGAATCTGTATTATTATTATATATTAAATGGGTATTTTTAACAAAACCTGAAATGTCCTCATTGGTGTCTAACAGAAAATCCAAAAAAAAAATAGGGTTGGTTTATCTTGAAATATGTACTTGCATGCTAAACAACTAACAGACTGATTACACTCAAATCTGACAATTAAAATGTAGTTTTTATTCAATGGGAAGTACAGTGTACAGCGTAAATTTAATCCAAGTTTTTATATATTATAGGATGGTTGCATGAGACGTTACTAGTTATAAACATTTAGTAATAGATATAACCTAAAACTTGTAGTCTACATACAGAGCAAATTAATGGGAGACATGGTGCATTATCCTCTGCTTCAATGTTTACAGCACATACTTTATTTAAAGGCGGCTTGGCTTCACATAGTATGGTGGTAGCTTAGTATTATTTGCACGTATTTATTTTTATTTGCGTTTTATTTCAGTTGCACAGTTTTACACTCCTTATATATTGGGTTATGGTAACCCGGGTGGTTTGAGCAGCGGTAAGGCCGGGTGGACACTATACGAATGCGTGGATTGCGGGAACAAATACAAGCACAAAGGGTCCCTCCAGCGGCACATAAAGTATGAGTGCAGAAAACAGCCCAGTTTCAAGTGCCCTTACTGTGTGTACCGGGCCTATCAGAAGCACAATCTATTGCTACACGAACGACATCTACATAAAGATTTGCCGGAGAAAGTGGACTTCGTCTCGGAATGACCCGCCGCGTAGTCAATGTCAGTAAATGTTCAAATGAATAGCGTCTTACTAACAGAGTTGATTCGAGCATGATGACCTTTGAACCGCGGCCAAGATAACTCCGTACTTACAATCCAACGACGATTTCTTTTTACTAATTTACGTTTAGTGTGGAGTTCACAACGTCCCGTCCTTATGATACGGGTCAAAAATATTACTAAACTGGCAATTGTGCACAAAGAACATATACTTTAAACAGTTCTTTTTCAAAAAAATCTACTTGCTAATGAATCTAACTGCACCTTAACTTTATTTTATGCCTGCTTTATAAATAACTATTGCATGTTGAATAATACATGGTTAGTGGTTTCCTATTGACTGCTATTGATATGCAAATAATATTCTATATTATTTCTGTTACAGCTGTAAAAAAAATGCACTGAATGAGAGTTCAGTGCACCCCTTACTTATATTAAGAAGACTTCAAGAATCCAAAGGAGACGACGATAGAAGTGTTAATATAACTTTAAATATTTTTGAAACGCACATTTTTACCAAAGATGTATGGTAATCTTTTACTAGTTACTGTTCTATAAATTGTACAGTATTATGACGACCTAATTTGAACTTTCAAGGTTCATTGCTATATTGCCAAAGCGAGGTCAGATTGGGAGCGACGCGAAACCATCTTAACTCCGTTTTGTATCGTCGATTCCGTTTTACTAGCAGAGCTAGGTGAAGCCAAATTATGCTATAAGTGTGAACAACAATAATAAAATATTGGAAACGAACATAGTTTCAAGCTATGCTCGC